AAACAGGCCGTTTGAAGATTTTCCCTTCATGACATCACAAAGGGCAGTAGCACCTCCCCCAGGTGGGTGACACTCCCACAGCTAGGTGTTTGTTCTGCCCTCTGAGTCTGCCTTCTCACCGTAAACAACAGGACATGGAGCGAGAAAGCACTGAGACACCCAAGCCCTTCCAGAGAGGGGGCGTGGTCAGACACAGCTTATTTACATATTTAAAGGTACAGACACAGAAACAGCCTGTTCTGAGCAGGGCTGAAATATAGGGGTTTATAGGCATGATCAAATACAGGATCAGAGTGGATTTAGAACAAGAAACTTCACACACATGTTTTGAGAAGCTCTGAGACTTATTTACACTGAAGAGAGGAGGAGGATATGTCACCTTTAAATCTTAACTCTGTAATTCTCATGCTATGTCGATGCTAAAACCTGCATTCTCACCACATCATTAATTCAATGATCTCATATTTTCTGTGTCTTGTTAAAGACACATGTAGAATCAAAGCTCAGGGTAAAGAATTGGACATTGTTTGGAAAGCGTGAGGATGATCTGTGTCTGTAACATCCACTTTAATCTCCAACACAAGAACACCTGTGTTGTTTTAACAGAGGATGGTTTTAGTCTCCTCACATCTGCTCAGCAGATTTACTCATGAATGTGTTTTAATATGAAACTTTATGACAGTATTGCTTCACCCACTTTCTTTTTCAATATCAACGTTGCATTTTGAGTTGCTGATGGTCTTTGATAGAGATCGATAGATTTTAGGACGTGCGAGACGTTTAGGTCTGGTGGTCGGTTTGGTCCAATGCTACCACACTGAAGTTTTCAATTATTTGGTGGATTATAGTTTTAGCTTAACAATGATGTACCGATGAGTGCCAATGAGTGCAATCGACCTGCTAAAGTCCAAAGACAAGTCGACAGTATCTTTATTGTCCCCACAGGGAAATGGTTTACAGCTGGAAACATACATAAAGACTAATAGATGATCCACAAACATTTACTTCTTAAGATCCACATAAGGATCATCCAGCTCCCAGTGAAAAGAGCAGCGAGGAAGTAAAATGCACTGCTATTCAACAAACAAATAGCAACAGGTACAAACGTGTCCGATGTGTCCTTGGGATTGGTCCTTGGCTGCCTGTCGGCCTTTACTTTACTTTATGCAGATGGTTGACGGTAATGATTTCCAAAGAAATATAGATCCAATATTTATGATCCATTTACATCCCAACTGCTCCAGAGTGTCTCCACACATATTATGACAGTCATTTCAAAGTAATATTTACAGACTTTTTATTTTATTTTCAAGTCTTACAGAAGCTGAACTGTTTTCCTGAGCTTGCATGTTTTATAAATACTGCAGCGCAGTTACCACCAACTCTCAGCAGATGGTTATTGCTTCACTCTAACTGTGTTTGTAAAGTAGATACTTTTTGCTATCCGCTTTGTTTTCATAGAAAGGGGCAGGGGGCAGTTTTCCCCAAATTTGTGCTTAATTGTTCAGTTAAAGATGAGTAAACAGCATTGAAGCACAGAGACACTTTTTACTCTGCAGCGCAGTTTTGAGTGCATTTAACCCTTTGTTTGTTTATGTGTGTTCTGTGAATCAGCCGGTTTCTTTCTGACTCAGTTGCACAGATAGCGTGCTCGAAGCTGTGCAGTCCTTTTATGAATCAGGTCCTCTTGGGTTTGAGCAGACGTGGTTGGCTGAGTGTTTGTTCCACTTGTTGGCAGATGGTCTTGTTGTCATCATAACTTACACGTTGTTTATAGCTGCAGTAAAGGGGCCTGCCCAGACTTTTTTGAACTGTGGGGGTGGCACTGACTTATGCAGGGGTGGCAGCATGACGTTTGTGGGCAAAAGCATGCAAACAAATTACATTTTTTTAACCCTTTCTGTCCCCACTAATGATATGAAAGTAACACAATTTGGCACATATTAATGTCCATAGCTTGATTCTTTAGGGACACAAAAACAAACAGTTGCAAAGTCACAATTTAAAGATTTAGAAATTTACTTGCAAACTCTTGTACACTGTCTAACTTGCAAAAAAATACATTGATTAGCAAATAAGTCCATTGCAAGTCAGACATTTTTATGGAAAGAGCAAAGTATTTATTAGTATCTGAGAGTGCTACCATTAGCCTGTTGAAAACAGCCAGAATGGTTGATTCATACTTAAGTCCCGCCTCTGATTAGGCAAGTAGCCAATCTTAGATCTGGATTTTGGGGTGGCCAATCAGTTTTCAAGGGGGGCCCATGCCACCGGTGGCCTCGCCCCTGTCTGGGGGTAGTGAGATCTGGCTCCTGCTCTGGTTTGTGTCTGTCCTATATGTGCTGCATGTGAAACACATGTGGAGTTTTAAATTAAAAAGGGGCCACGGTGTGACTTATTTTCTCGCCTCCACGCCACATTTTCTCATTTTTAGAGCAGATCCCCCGGGGTCTTCTGAAGCTTAGCAGCAGACTTGATTTAATGAATGGTGACAGAGTTTATGAGTTTATCCTCTTGTCTGTGAGTGGACCCTCTTCAGTACATACTTGAACTCTTGTTTCAGACATGCATTTATTTCCTGTTTGGCACCACAAGTTCCTGAAGTCCCGACACTCTGTTGTCTTTGCACCTTGTTGCTTTGTTTACCTGACCCGACCATGCCGCAATGAAAAGTGACAAATCTGCTTAGCTCCATTGTGCTCTTAGATTAGTTGGATTTAAAGGCTCCTCCTTCTCGTCTTATTGTAAAAACATGGCCTACAAACAACTACTATTCCTGATAGGTCTTGATACAGTTCAGGGTCATACATGTTACACCTTTTTGATCAGGTTCTCCTTTACAAAACTTTGAAGAAAGTGTGTTTATATTGTACGTAACAGCCTGAAAGTTTAGAGCTCAGCAAAGTGAAGATATCTTTGAGAGATTCATGAAAACCAATCTGAATTTGTTCACAATGAAAAGTCATCCTAACAAACCGGGGGGTTAGGGTTAGGCTAGCCTAGCAGTGATGTCACCCGCCCCTTGTACAGAGGCTTTAGTCCTCATTGCAGTGGCCGTGGGTTCATATCTGACCTTCCTCCTTTGCTGCTTGCCACCCCCCTGCTCTCTCCTCCCAGCATATCCTGTGTTTGCCAACAACAAACCAGCATGTCTTTAACATCTAAACCAGCCTCACAGACTCACTTTAAAGATTTAAGCTGATACTTACCTTATCCTCTTTAATCATATTAAGGTTAAACTGTGTGGAGACCGTATGGTGGTGGTATGTTGCCTGATTCCCCGGCTCTTCTATAAGTAGTATCATGTTTTTACATTCAGGTTTGGGACTAAACTAAACCACCGATATCACATCTCCAGTCACAGCTCATTCTCATTTCATTCCAAGACGGCTGGAAGCGACAGCTTAAAAAATGTGTTCAGTTTCCTTCTTGCAGCATCTGTTAAATGTATGAGAATGTAACCCAGTCTGTGCAAAAAGTCTGAGATCGGCCTCGCTGTTAGACTTCCACGTTTACTAATTTATCACTGACTGGGTAATAACTGGAAATCTTCAATGATGGATTTAGCAGCATATTTATTTGCTAAGTGATGTTAGTGAGCGCAATAAAATGTGGTTTCAGCTGCTGTAGCCATCCATCACCGTCCGTCACAGAGTCAGAGAAATATTTCCTTTAATGTGTCTCCATGTGTGCGTGAAATACAGAACTAAGGAGGAGTGGCCACTAGGGGCGGAAGTGCATGCTTACTCACAATACGATACGTGATATGATACGATATGTTACAATATATTTTACGATATGTTACAATACATTAAACGATAAGTTACGATACGATACGTTAAAATAAGTTGTGATGTGATATGCTACATTTTGATATGCTACGATATGTTACCACACGTGATGTTATACATTGTTACGTTGCGTTGCGATACGATACGTTGCGTTGCGATACGTTGCGTTGCGTTACGTTGCGTTGCGTTACGTTGCGTTGCGATACGTTGCGTTGCGTTGCGATACGTTGCGTTGCGTTGCGTTGCGATGCGTTGCGTTGCGATACGTTGCGTTGCGTTGCGTTGCGTTGCGTTGCGTTGCGTTGCGTTGCGTTGCGTTGCGTTGCGTTGCGTTGCGTTGCGTTGCGTGCGTTGCGTAGCGTTGCGTTGCGTTGCGTTGCGTTGCGTAGCGTTGCGTAGCGTAGCGTTGCGTAGCGTAGCGTTGCGTAGCGTTGCGTAGCGTAGCGTTGCGTAGCGTTGCGTTGCGTTGCGTTGCGTTGCGTTGCGTTGCGTTGCGTTGCGTTGCGTTGCGATACGTTGCGTTACGATACGTTGCGTTACGATACGTTGCGTTGCGTTGCGTTACGATACGTTGCGTTGCGTTGCGATACGTTGCGATACGTTGCGTTGCGATACGTTGCGTTGCGATACGTTGCGTTGCGATACGTTGCGTTACGATACGTTGCGTTACGATACGTTGCGTTGCGTTACGATACGTTGCAGATAACTGCATCACATAAGTCTGGACGACCATGTTACTGTATCTATAGTTTGTCCCTCCTCTAAAGGCAATGAGGGCGATGATTGAGGGGAAAGTTTCCTCATATTTTCATAAAATTTGACAAATTAAACCAATAAATAGTTTTTTATTTCTGCAGCGTTTGTCTTGCAGGAGGAAATCATCAATCGTTTCACTGAACAGTTAATATGGAAGAAGGTGAACGACTCTCTCTTTTGTCTTCTCTCTGACGTCACTTTTCCTCTCATTCCCGGCTTTCCCCTCTAATTTTCCTGCACGACCACAGGCGCTGCTGTCTCTGTCATGACTCCCAGTAACACTGGCATCTCATTTAAAGGTCCGGCTCTGCATCCATTAGCTATACAACGGGAGGGAGGGAATACTGGCTGCAGGAGAGAGAGAGGAAGAGAGGGAGGGAGGGAGAATGACGGCTATTTAAGGGTTGGCGTTTAAATAGCAATGAGGATTCTGACCTAAACGCTCCTCACACTTTTTTCTGGTCATTTACTCCCCCTCTCCCCCTCCTTCTCCCTCCCTCTCTCTCTCTCTCGCTCTCTCTGTCTGGTTTGACTCGCTTTCTTTTTCTCTCTCTGTCAGTGAACGAGCTGAACTCCAGCCTGAGCTGTGAGCAGAGAGGGAGCGATAAGGAGCCGGCTGTGGGAGCACTGACGGAGCTGCCACCTTGCAGGAGAGAGGCTGCGGGGACGGAGCGAAGCATCATTTCCCTCGGCTCCAATGAACGCGTGAGGAAGAGAGCCTCATCTCGTCTGCAGGGACTTGAGATTTGCACAAGTACGGGTATGAATTTGATCTTTTATTCAAATCATTTATAAAGCACGGGCATCTCACTGAGAGAGAGCACAAACAAACCTAATACACGATCTGCTGATCTGCTCACAACGAGGGAAGCACGTGCAAGTGTGTCTGCAAGTTTACAACCTTTTAAAAATTCAAGAGAGGCGTGCATGTGTCTGGATTACTTCTCCTGATATGCATTTTGTTGGATAAAAGTTGGTGTTATTGAGTTTAATTTGTTGTTTTTTAAGCTCTTTGAATGGTTGAATTCCTCCTCATGGAAAGTGTTGGAGGTAGTTACATGCACCTTTAGTTATTCTCTCCACTTGTACATTTTTTGAGGAGTGTACGGTTACTCCACCACCAGAAGGCATCGATTATAGTTTAGTGGACGAGCATTCTTGGGTGTATTCTGCAACTTCTTTCCCTTCAGTCAGACTCTCTCACAGGAGCCAATTCAGAGATCAGAGGTGATGACGGAGTGAGGGAGCGAACATGTGGAAGAGTTATCCACAGCTTTGATCACCTAGGAAGGAAAAGACAGACCAAGCCAAATATATTCCCTCTCTATTTGTCGGGGTTTGAGGATCAATACTCCAAAAATAAATCTAAATACATTTCTGTGTGCGTGTGTGTGACTCTGTCTGTCTGGTGATGATTCATCACATTACCTCGGGCAATTCAATTCAGCTTTCATTGTGTGTCATTTTTCCATCTTGGAGATTAAATTAAGGGGAAAAGAAGTGGGTGGCAGGATTTGCCGGTGTGGGCAAGGGGAGGAGGGGAGGAGGAATACTTCATCCATTCAGTCCATTAGCTCCGCTTAATTGAAATGGAAGTGGAAGATTGGAATGGAAGATTTAAAGCAAAGGAATATTATCTGTGAGGGAAGTCAAACTTTTGGGATTCAACTCCAGCTCGTCTCATAATGCACATCTTCTCCTGAGATGTTTCACAGCGAGGCGTCTCGGTGCACTATCCTCAGTCGGCGGGGGGGGGGGTAGAGGGGACAGCTGGTTCAGGAGCTCGAGCTCCCCCAGGGCTCGTGCTGCACTGTTTCCCTCTGCGTGACCTCCACACACAGAGCCAGGGGTTGAGCATAACTCAGCATCACAAGCCTCTGAGGGTCCGATTGTTTCTGCATCCCGAACCCGGGTCAGTTAGAGAACAGAGGTGCAGCCCGTTGACACGAGGAGTTCCTGACGTCACAGTGTGAGGGGTTTATTTTAGTCACATAAGTCATGTTTACCTCCTTCTTCCAGAAGAGAAACCCAGTGAAGTCATTGCTGAGATCATTTAACACTTGACTAATAAATGTGAGCGTATGATCATGTAAGGGTAGCTGTGTCAGTGTTTGGCCTCTGATGTTGTAAATCTGCCAGGATGTCCAGAATCAGGTGTGTCGGTTACAGCGGGGAATGTGCACAGATGGCGCGTTTTGAAAGTGGATGATTTTCCAGCTGATTCTTTTATTAGCAGTGAAGAAAAATCTTCTGATATCGTTCTCCACCTTAAAGCAACTCGCTGAAAGAGAGCAACAAGTGATAATGACCCAACATTTATATTTATCTCTGTGAGTGTTCATCTCTTGTTGCAGCCTCACAGAGCTGTGAGTGCAGCAGTTGTTGTCATGAGCATCCTTTTGAAAATATATTCGATATTCTCCGTATTTTGTCTCTTATAGATCGTACCCTGTACCCCACATCCTCCTCGCCCCGTGTCTGATCTGAGCTGTGATAGGGGGGCCGGCATTTTTATTAAGCTCATCATGCAGAAAAAGTCGGCGGGCGAACATCCTCCATTTGATGCTCATAGTGAAGAAAAAATAAATCTCAACTATAGCACATACAAAAGTAAGCAAGCCGCCATTGTCAGAGGACTGTTGTCATCGAGACAAGACGTAAGTGCAGCGCTTCAATTATCAGTGCACAAGCGCTTCATTCACGCGATCCAGCCAGCGCATTTCTGCCCCAAAAAGACGCCTAGAGGACACAAGCTTTCAGTTATTATCTTGAGAAAGTTTTCCATTGTTTTGAGGTATTACTCTGACTTCATGGTTTTGTCTTCTGCCTTCTTCTAAGAGAAGGAAAATATGACCTGAGTCTGTATATTGTGTTTTATTTTGAAAAATTCCTTGTCTCACCTCCTGTCCGGGTTGTTCTATTCTGTTCCATGCTTACATTGCACCATCAAAAATAAACTTGCAGCGTATGTGAAACGGAGCAGAGCCTAGTTGGCGCTGCTTTCACGCTCTGGAGACGGACCGTGGCGCTCGCTGTGGAAACACAATCATTGACTAGAGTGGCAGCGGACGACGGCGTAGCTTGCTGAGTGACCACGGCGCACACGGAGTACGTGGAAATTGGGAGTTACTCAGTGAATACTTGTTGATTCCCTGTAAATACATTTGGTACCTAACGGTAATTTACTTTTCAACTTTTCTCATTTATTCTCACGATGCCGCTCAGATAGATGCTGCCCCGTCTCATTGTCTCACACAATGACAATTAAGACTTCAATCTTGAATTAGTGAGTTCCTTGCCCCAAGGGGAGGAGCTTAGGTATCTCTTGTTCATGAGTGAGGGTGGACCGTCAGATTGACAGAGTTTAGTGTCAGCAGTAACGCTGACGTTGTGCCAGACCGTAAAGCTCTCGATTTACCGCTCGATCTTTGTTCAGACCTTCACCTGTCGTCACAAGCTTTGAGTAGTGACCGAGAGAATAAAATCGAGGATACAATCATCTGAAATTAGTTTCATCCAGAGGTCGTCTGGGCTTGGAGAGAGGGGGAGGAGCTTAGACATTCAGGGGGAGCTCTGATTTGAGCTGTTACTCCTTCACATCAAAAGGAGCCAGTTGAGGTGGTTCGGGTATCTGATCAGGATCCTCCTGGACGCCTCCCTTTGGATTTGGATTTGGATTTGGAAAATCTTTATTGTCCCCGAGGGGCAAGTTGGTTTGCAACAGAGGTCCATACAGTCAATACATCCATAAAAAACAGCACAATGATATAAATACATATAAAACATAATTAATGGATACCATCATGATGGACGTGAGTGAGATAAGGGACAAAAGACCAACAGTCCATAGTAAAAGTGTCTACAGCTTATTTAAAAAACCAACAGCTGATGGAACAAACGACCTCGGGTTTCTATTTCATTTTGACATCCTTACATAAGTGAACGCCCAATTGGGAGGAGACCTCGGGGTAGACCCAGAGTTCGCTGGAGGGATTACATATCCCGTCTAGTCTAGGGAACGCCTCGGAATCCCCCAGGAGGAGGAGGAGCTGGAAAACGTTGCTGGGGAGAGGGACGCCTGGGTTGACTCACAGCGCTTGCTCCCGCTGCAAGCCGACCTCGGATAACAGAAGAAGACGGATGGATGGATGGATGGATGGATGGATGGATGGATGGATGGATGGATCTTGAGTTAGGCGATCTGTACCGCGGTTTTTATGACATTGGTAGAAGTGGGCGTCTATATGATTCAACTCCAAAACAGAAACAAAGACTCTTATGATTCACGTTCCACCTCACACGAGGAGACCCAATTATTTCTAATAACTCAACTGTTTTCTCCCGTTGAAGCTCGCCTGGGGACACATGACGCTCTAATACGACTTATTACGACCATTAATACGACTTCTTTATAGCTACTGTGCAGCAGTGGGGATATGTGTCACCTCTTAATAAGGTGTCGCAGTTTTCTATTGTTGTTTTGTTTGCTACAGTAATTGGTAACGAGATGATTTCCAGATGTGAGAATCAAACGTTCATATCACAGACAAACGAAGCAGATGCACTTGATTAGTTTTCATCACTGACACGCTGCAGATGTTTCCTAGGAGAAGTGCGTGTAAGAACAGGCTGCGTTCAAACTCTTCTCCTGGAGGTGAAAAGTTTACATCAGTGCAGACGCTCCATGTTTCAGCATTAGAAGACGTCCCTTTAATCTCCCCTGCAGGAGCGTAGTTTCAGCTCATAGCCACCGTGTAGACAAGTATTTTAGTGCCTTTTTTTTTTTTTTTCCCTTTTTCTTTTCCTTGACTCGGCGAAACAGATGTCCTCAGTCCGGTGGCCAACATTCCCGCTTTCTCTCTTTTCCACGCGGGAAAGTTCCCTTCACACTGCCAGCATGGGGGGAAGAGCTTTTCAAGCTGCAGCAGTGCTGGATTATAGTTTAGCAAACAGGTTATATTTATTTCAATTCTCTCTCTCTCCAAAATTGTCTTCCCATGTCCCGTCATCAAATGAAATGTCCTCGCTCGACCTCTCTCTGTGATGTACGCCTGGCTTCATAAACCACGAGAACTGTTAGGCTCCTTTGTTCTAACTGCACAGTTAGAAGACAAATGGAGATAATATCCATATAATGTCTCTATAAAATCAAATTAGAGTCATTTTACAAGCGTGGAACATGGAGCCACCATGAACAGTAATGCAATAAAGCACCTTCTTTTAAATGGGGGGGGGGGCAGTTCAGAGTGCAGGACAGTGACGTAAAGAAATAAGAAACAAAACAAATTCAGATACTTAAAAAAAACCAGGAAAACCAAAAAAAAAAAAAGTCAGACAGAAAACCAATGGCAACCTCCAGAGTTGAAAAATGAAGCCAGTGCATAAGTGCAAAAATCCTGCAGTTCCTGGAGTGTCCACTAGAGGCTGTGATGCAGAAGCACACAAAGTCACATACACACCCATTCTAAAAAGCCTGTTTTTACAGCAGAGATGAACATGTTTACAGCCTGGTTCAAAAAACCAAATAGGTGTGATTAGCTCATGTCTGGATGGACACACACTGTACGGGGGGTGAATGTTTTGATGACTCATCAGTTTTGATTTGATGAAGGATAAGAGTTATTCAGAAGAAAACATGCTGGCGTGGGGCCACGTGACGAAAGAGAGGTCAGGTCAGAGGTCAGGGTCATAAAAGAGAGGGAAGAGGATTGATGAGAGGGAGCAGCGTTCCATCGGACTCAAACCTCGAGAACGAAACACTTTTTAGAGGCACCGTGCTCACAGCAGTGGAAAATATGTGGCTTTAAGGGGAAACATAACGCGGCCTGTCATCCAGATAAAAACACATGAAAAGAAGCATGAACAGAAAGTAAAGGACGACATGCACTGCTCTGATACCGTCCACAACATCACCTTTTACATTCACCTGATTCCTTCTTTCATCTATTTTATTGCACCCCCCCTCCTCACAGGAACTGCGTTGGTAGCTCTGCATATTTTTCCCACACCGGCTCAATCTGCACATGTACAGTGAAGCTTTTTCTCCATAACAGCAACAAAACAAAACATGTTGTGGGAAAAAGTTAAAATTTCAAGTAGAAAAAATATTTTCATGCAAGTTCTGCAGAGTTGGTTTACGTGCAGGTGCAATAGTTTGTGTCTATAGAGGAAGAAATATGTTCTATTGAAGTCTTCAGTTTAGTTTAGGACTGAAGAAGCCTTTTGAAACATCTTTAAGATCGTCAATCAGGTCCAGTTACCTTCAGTTAAAGCTCTGAACATTGTGTCAGTGTGAACACAGAGCTGATAACAACAAACCCAGGGGGAGTTTGACTTAAAGAAGACATATTATCCCCCTCCTCCACCTTTTCAAACAGTCCCCCTGTGGTCTAAATGAAACATCTGTGCTGTGCTTTTGGTCAAAGTATAACCCAAATAGGTGTGATTAGCTCATGTCTCGATGGACACACACAGTACAGGGGGTGAATGTTTTGATGACTCATCAGTTTTGATTTGATGAAGGATAAGAGTTATTCACAATAAGGCGTGTAGCTGACCTGATTGACAGGTGGGCGCGGTGTAACGGTTTGTCAGGAGGTTTAAAACCCGCCTCAGCTCCAGCTCTCAGCCTGTCGTTAGGTTGACTGAAAGTTAGACTGAGACAGCATTTCCAGCATGGAGACCGCCATCGATGGGACTCCAGCGCCCCCTGCAGGAACAGACGGGGGACGACATCGATAGGACTCCAGCGCCCCCTGCAGGAACAAACATTAATATTTACAGTCTATGATCAGTACACTTTTTATTGATGTTTATAATCGGCCTCAGAGTTTGAGTCTCTTCTAGGGTCGTCATGATACCACAATTATAAACATCAACTTATCGTTATCGATACCAGTTTAGATCTCACTGCAACAAAAAAGGAAAAGGGAGAGAAACGTCGTATTGGATGACTGGATGGACCACCACTTCTATCGATCTCTTTCAAAAGGAGGTTGTGTCATTTTGAAACATCGAACATGTTTCAAACATTGAAATCAGAATTAAATATAGTCGTGTTTTGAAGTTTCTTAATTTTGGTGCTGAGTAAAAAGAAGACGGTGGGTTTGTGAAAGTTATTATTATTTTTTAATTTATTTGAAAGTTTTACGCCCCTCTTCAGGCCTGCTTGAGGATTTTAGGGGCCACAAATTACCCCTTTTTGTGTCTTGTAAATATTACTTAACGCAGCTCGGAGATGTTTTCAAAGACTTGCTTTTTTCTGATTTACAACAGCGGGCGTAACCTACCTTTACCCAGGCGCTCACCAGATGTGCAAAGAACTCGTGAAACTGAAGCTGATTTTTATACCTGTGTCTTTAGCAGAAGAAAACATGCTGGCGTGGGGCCACGTGAAGAAAGAGAGGTCAGGTCAGAGGTCAGGGTCATAAAAGAGAGGGAAGAGGATTGATGAGAGGGAGCAGCGTTCCATCGGACTCAAACCTCGAGAACGAAACACTTTTTAGAGGCACCGTGCTCACAGCAGTGGAAAATATGTGGCTTTAAGGGGAAACATAACGCGGCCTGTCATCCAGATAAAAACACATGAAAAGAAGCATGAACAGAAAGTAAAGGACGACATGCACTGCTCTGATACCGTCCACAACATCACCTTTTACATTCACCTGATTCCTTCTTTCATCTATTTTATTGCACCCCCCCTCCTCACAGGAACTGCGTTGGTAGCTCTGCATATTTTTCCCACACCGGCTCAATCTGCACATGTACAGTGAAGCTTTTTCTCCATAACAGCAACAAAACAAAACGTGTTGTGGGAAAAAGTTAAAATTTCAAGTAGAAAAAATATTTTCATGCAAGTTCTGCAGAGTTGGTTTACGTGCAGGTGCAATAGTTTGTGTCTATAGAGGAAGAAATATGTTCTATTGAAGTCTTCAGTTTAGTTTAGGACTGAAGAAGCCTTTTGAAACGTCTTTAAGATCGTCAATCAGGTCCAGTTACCTTCAGTTAAAGCTCTGAACATTGTGTCAGTGTGAACACAGGGCTGATAACAACAAACCCAGGGGGAGTTTGACTTAAGAAGACATATTATCCCCCTCCTCCACCTTTTCAAACAGTCCCCCTGTGGTCTAAATGAAACATCTGTGCTGTGCTTTTGGTCAAAGTATAACCCAAACACCAGAGGAGGTTTGTGACCCTGTATAAACCAGCTCTCTCAGAACGCTCCGTTTTGGTGTGTGTGTCTCTTTAAATGCAATGCATTTAAAGAGACAGTCAGTAGTCAGTAGACACTCAGGTTACCCAAATATATGTTCAACAACACAAAGTGGATTTTTCATAATACTGTATGTCCCTCTTAGTAGTAGTATTCAGAGTGTCACATCTTACGCCTTTAAAGTTAATATTTTTCCACACGTTCTTCCATTGATTGTTCTCGCATGCGGGGCGTTCTCAGATCCTTTGGAAACTCAGCAGCGAGCTGTCCAAGGGGAAGCTTTCCCACGCCGGGGAAGAAGCCTGTCATTAGTTCCAGTTTCGGCTCCCACAAATTATAGTGTTCCAGCTGATTAAGTCATCAGAGGGCGGCGGGCAAAAAGGAAATCCCAGTGTGTGGGATGTACACTGCAGCTTTTCTTCATGGTATAGATACCGATACATTAAAAAAAACAGCTGATACGTTTCAACAATATGTGGGCGCTGCAGAGACAGCAGCTGATGTGCCAAGACAACTGTGGATTCTTTAGTGTTTTTATAAAGCAGTGAACACTCGCTGTTCTCCTGGTTCACTCTGCAAACACACCTGGGCTGTAGTTCTTTATTTAAGCAGGAATAGTCACCTCATATTTATCTCTTTTAAACTCTTAATATGCAATTTTTCACACTTAAATATAATATAAATCAAGTATATCCTCTGAAAATAACTCTGTGAGTCATGACCGTCTACTCTGAGTTTTCCAAGTCCTATCTTCACTTTGTTTACATCGCCCGGACGGCCGGCTGACTCCTCCCTTGTGTATAAAAGTTGTTTAATTGAGGGACTAGAGAAAAGAAGAATAACATACTGTACTCACTGCTTAACTGTGTTTCTAGATCACGCTCATTTCAGGTAAATTTACATGCAGTGTGACGATACCAGCATAATAAAGATCACTAGCATTAGCATGCTAACACAACAATGCAGCGCGAGTTGTTTTGGTTTCATGCTGGTGCTCAAGGGCGACATCTGCTGGATCAAAAAATCGCATATAAAGCCTTTAAGGGAATCCTGGCTGTACAAAAGTTCCATACAAAAAACAACAAAACAAATCAAATAATTAATTACATTACAGTAACAACGTTATGTACTAGAGCTTCTTTCCCGCATGTAATTCCCCTCTCTCTCTCTCTCTGTTTATTTCCCTTTATTTAATTTCCTTTATTTTATTGTCCTGTCCCTCAAAATAAGGGCATATGCATCTTCACATCCCCATAAAACTGCGTTTGTGTGACGTTTATTTTTCTGTTTTTCAGACTCTTCAACGTCAATCCAAGAAGACCGGCCTCTTCTCAAAGGTTTAAACTGAAATCCACTTTAATATATCCACGTCTAGCATGGGTACGAGAGGCCTTCTGGGCTGCCTCCTCATAGCCGCCTTGCTCGGCTCATCGCATGCTGGGCTCGTGAAGAAAATCCTGCGGCATCGACGGCAGACCCTGACGCCCCCTGATGAGCACAACGTCAGCCTGCCCAGTGCGGACCACCCTGTGGTTTTCAACCACGTCTACAACATCAACGTCCCCGCCAGCTCTCTGTGCTCGGTGAACCTGGACGATCCGGAGGGCACGCAGCCGCTGCTCCCCAACGATGCCCCGGCCTCTCTGGGCCGTCGGGTCGACGAACACACGGTGGACGGGGACAACCAGATCGTCTTCACCCATCGGATCAACATACCGCGGCGGGCCTGTGGATGTGCGGACGACCTGCCGGGCCTCAAAGACCTCATGAGCCGGCTGGAGATGCTGGAAGGAGAAGTCTCAGCTTTGAGGGATCAGTGCAGTGTGGACGGGGGCTGCTGCGGCGCACAGGTCACAGGTAGGTCAGATAATGTTCCTCTCATTACAATTCTACAATTCACTTAGCAGACACTTTTATCCAAAGCGATGTACATCAGAGAGTAAGAACAACACAAGCAAGGATCTATAAAAAAAGGGAACAATGTGAGTAAGAGCAAACGATCAGCTTTGAGTCTGATTGGACACACAGGTGCTGACAGGAAGTGACCAGAGGCAAAGCACAACATTGAAGGCAGTTCTTGAGAGCTCTAATCAGTATAGAAACCATCTTATAAGTCGTCGTTATCAAACAAAAACCATCGTCATTACCATCATCATCATCAATAATATGGAGACCATCGTCATTAAGTTAGTAGGTATTCATGAAAGAGCTGGGTCTTTAGCTTTTTCTTAAAGGTGCAGAAGGACTCTGTAGTTAGTAGATAAATAAACACAAGAGCTTTCTTGCTACATGACCCCGGGAGTCTGCTTCAGTATGAGGGACATCCGGTCCAATCATCCGTCGAGCAGTTTCTTTGGAATCCAGTGCGTGGGGTTCAGTACTCCCCAACAGCTCTGTTACCTTGTGAATGAGGCTTTTGTGTCTCCAATGACATTCAGTTTTTAAATATCAGTGACAGGAAGAAATCATCTCTTGTCCTCGTTGACCCCTTTGGGAGGATTTCTGAATATGCACAAAGCTTGAATTATGTAGAAATGAATAAGAGGAGCTGCTTCTGTGAATGTAAACGTTCAAATGAGTTGGGTCATCATGTCAATTATGGCTGGATGATATTGGGTTAAAAAATGACATTATGATTCTGTTTCTTCATGCGATATGTTTTGCAATTTAAAAAAAAATAATAATAATAATAATTTTCTGATCTCCGATATCTTGACCCTCTCCTTCTTTGATCACAAACTGGGTCCAGCGTGGTTCCTCACTTTATTGGTCCTGTTTTTCAGGACATTTCTGGTGTTTGGGGGCAGGAGTAGCTCAGTCTGTAGGGATTTGGGTTGGGAACCCGACGGTCGCCGGTTCAGGTCTCGGAACGGATCAAATTTGGAAATTGGTCTGGTAGCTGGAGAGGTGCCAGTCCACTGCCTGAGCACTGCTGAGGTGCCCTTGAGCAAGGCACCGAACCCCCCCACCAGCTCAGGAGTGCTTGCTGTGGGCAGCTCCGTCACTCTGACATCTCTCCAATAATGTTTGTGCATGTGTGTATTTCAGCCTATACCTGAATTTCCCCTCAGTAAAGTATACATTAGTATTAAAAGTCTCAGTGAAATAAAGGAAGTGTAAGAGTAGTGTCATTCTGAAATGTACAAAAAGGATGACATTTCAGCATTTAAAAATATATTTTGGTATATCATTTTCTCAGACTTCCACACAGAAACTGATCGTGAAGCGTTAATAGTTTGTTGTGGATGGTTATCTTGTTTCAAAGCGCTGCTCCTCCGTTCACTCTTATCCCATCTGCATCATGCAGGGATCATCTGCTAGCTGCGTAACAGTCTGCTAACATTACAGTATGTTGCTGTAAAATTGGCCAAACTCCATTTTTCCATGTCAACACATGTTGAACGATGTTTGCAGACGGCCTTTTTTTTGTTCACTGTTTTCTCTTCCTTTTCCTTATACTCAACGCTGAAACTGAAACGTCCCCCACACCATTTGAGGAAACATTTCTCATCCCTCCGCATGGACTCACAGGCACACACATAAACAAAGCGAGAGAGAGAGAGAGAGAGAGAAATACTTTGCATGAAAGTTAGTCAGCTAGTTGTATGCAAATATTATATTTTAAGAATGAACTTCCAAACTCCATTTGATCTGCAGAGTCCCTCTGCACCTTTAAGAAAAAGCTAAAGACCCAGCTCTTTCATGAATACTTACTAACTTAATGATGATGGTCTCCATATTATTGATGATGATGATGGTAATGACGATGGTTTTTGTTTGATAACGATGACTTATAAGATGGTTTCTATACTGATTAGAGCTCTCAAGAACTGCCCTCAATGTTGTGCTTTGCCTCTGGTCACTTCCTGTCAGCACCTGTGTGTCCAATCAGACTCAAAGCTGATCGTTTGCTCTTACTGACATTGTTCTCTTTTTTCTCGATCCTTGCTTGTGTTGTTCTTACTCTGATGTACGTCGCTTTGGATAAAAGCGTCTGCTAAGTGAATTGTAGAATTGTTGCATTCTTAGTATCTATCCAAATCCCTGCTACTACACCAACTCTTTTCAAAAGATATTGTTGTCAGGTTGGTTTAACAAACAAACAATCGTGTCATATGATCTTTATTTTCTCATGTCAGGTGATGTGGGAACTAAACCGTACTGCAACGGTCATGGGAACTACAGCTCTGAATCCTGCGGCTGTGTGTGCGAGCCCGGCTGGACGGGACCCAACTGCACTGAACCCGAGTGTCCCGACAACTGCCAGAACCGAGGCCGCTGCTCGGACGGAAAGTGCGAGTGCTTCAAAGGCTTCGGCGGAGATGACTGCGCGCTCCAGGTCTGCACCGTGGACTGTGGAGAACACGGGCAGTGCGTTGGGGGTGTTTGCGTCTGCTCGGACGGTTACCTGGGCAATGACTGCTCTCAGACCGAGTGCCTCAACAACTGCCGGGGCCGCGGCCGCTGCGAGGACGGAGAGTGCGTGTGCGAGGAACCGTGGACCGGCTCGGACTGCGCCGAACTCATCTGCCCCAAAGACTGCTACGACCGCGGGCGGTGCGTGAACGGGACCTGCTACTGCGACGACGGGTTCGCCGGGGAAGACTGCGGGGAACGCACCTGTCCGCACGATTGCAACGGCAACGGTTTCTGCGTGGACGGCCGCTGCGTCTGCATCGCCGGCTTCAGCGGGGATGACTGCGCCCAACTCACCTGCATCAACGATTGTAACGACAGGGGGACATGCTTCAATGGCGTGTGCATCTGTGATGCCGGTTACCAAGGCGAGGACTGCAGCCAGCTGGCGTGCTTGAATAACTGCAACCACAGAGGCCAGTGTATCAACGGGCAGTGCGCCTGCGACGTTGGCTTCGTGGGCGACGACTGCTCCGAGCTCTCCTGCCCGAGCAACTGCCTGAACCGCGGCCGGTGCGTTAACGGCCAGTGCGTGTGCGAGGAAGGCTTCGCCGGCGAGGACTGCAGCATCAGGACCTGCCCCTCGAACTGCTACGGCCGCGGCGAATGCGTAGACGGACGCTGCAAGTGTCACACGGGCTTCATGGGCACAGACTGCGGCGAGCTGAGCTGCCCCAACGACTGCCAGAGCCGCGGGCGCTGCGTCGACGGGCAGTGCGTTTGCGACGAGGGCTTCACCGGGGAGGACTGCGGTCAGAAGGCGTGTCCCAACGACTGCCTGGGCCGCGGTCACTGCGCCGACGGGACGTGCGTCTGTCGGGAAGGCTACTCAGGAGATGACTGCTCCGTGCTCGCGTGTCCGGGTAACTGCAACAGCAGGGGGCGCTGCGTCGATGGGAAGTGCGCTTGTGAGAGCGGGTACCGAGGAGAGAGCTGTGCAGAGCTGAGCTGCCTCAACGACTGTCAGGACCAAGGTCGCTGCGAGGACGGCCGGTGCGTCTGTGACGAGGGATACATCGGAGACGACTGCTCAGAAGGTAAGAAGCTCTGACTACTGAAGAGGAATTCAATGTTAGTGTGAATTTATATTTATAAGTGGAAGAGAGAGGAAGAGGTATATTAAAACATCATTATGTAGGAACGTGGTTTGGTGGGATTTGGCGCCCCCGCAGGTCTCTGAGTGCAACTACACTGTAACAATACACAGTGCGTTTTATGCGACACAGAAAACGTGAATTTGTTGACAAGCAGAGGGTCCAGAAGGGAAACACTTTAATCACTACATGATCCATTCACCAAACCAACGTTTAAAGGCTTTATATGTGATTTTTTTGATCCAGTAGATGTCGCCCTTGAGCACCAGCATGAAACCAAAACAACTCGCGCTGCATTGTTGTGTTAGCATGCTAATGCTAGCGATCTTTATTATGCTCTTATCTTCACACTGCATGTAAATTTATCTGAAATGAGCGTGATCTAGAAACACAGTTAAGCAGTGAGTACAGTATGTTATTCTTCTTTTCTCTAGTCCCTCAATTAAACAACTTTTATACACGAGGGGAGGAGTCAGCCTGCCATTGTACTTGTTGTATCCACTCATGTCCTCTTAATGTTTCAGTTTTTCTGTTCAGATGCACACAAATAAATCGCCTCTGAGCTCTTTATCCCGCTCCATCCACAAACAGCACCCTTTGGTATTTTTCCTGTCACTTGCTAAAAGACAAAAGTGACACTGAGGTCTCTAAGGTAAAAAAAAAATAAAGTCAGTGGGAAGTCATTCATTGAGTTTTGTTCTCCTGTGCAGACAAGATTTACTTGCACTGCGTCTCGTTTGCAGACTTAGTAGTAGATAAAGGGTTAACTTAGTCGTAGCATGGGACAGAGTTGTGTTTTTTGTTTGTGGAAATTTTTTGCAAGTTTGTTGCTGAAACAACGTTTATGATGTTTTTTGGGTCAGTCATAAAAAAGGCACATTTTAGTCTCAATTAGGCTTTCACTTGGTTATTAAGGATGTATATAAATAGCTCAGTACATTGTTGAAACACACACACACACACACACACACACACACACACACACACTAGTGGATTGGCAGTTTCTGAGTCCTGAATGTTTCCATGTGTCAAATAGATGTCCCATAAAAGCAAATACAGAGTGATGTCATTTCCTCCCGTTCTCACAATTCACTCACCAAGCATCTCGCAGAAAGTGTGCATAAAAAAAGGATCTTGTTTTTTTTTGTGTGTTGCCGTTGTCTGCACTATGTTCGCACTTTTTTTTTTTTTGGCAGTTCTTCACACCGCAGCCCGTCCAGATGTGACTCTGGAGTTTGCATTAGCTCTGCATGGTGGATCGAGGGTTATGAGAGAGTGTACCAAGACAACACCCACAGTCGTTTTTTTATTTGCCCTCCTTTCTTCTTTTCCAGTGTCTCCTCCAAAGGACCTGACAGTCAGCGAGGTCACCAGTGACACGGTGGACCTGGCCTGGAACAACGAGATGCTGGTCACTGAGTACCTCGTGACCTTTGTGCCCACCAGTCCCGGCGGTCTCCTCCAGGAGTTCACCGTGTCAGGAGATAAAACAGCAGCCACAGTGAAAGAGCTGGAACCGGGACTGGAGTACCTGATCAGCGTCTACGCTGTTCTGAGCAACAAGAGGAGCGTCCCCATCAGCGCCCGGGTCGCTACAGGTACATCATGTAGAAACATGTGCACAATAGCGGATAGGATGTGATAGGACAATCAGAATCAGTGTCTCCTACTTTTTTACCCCTTTTGATTCTCTAAGAAGCGGGATTTATGGCTTAAATTAAAAAACAAAAAAACAAAGAGTTTTTCCCACAAGGTGCAAACAACGGTTAGGTCCCATAGGTCACATCCTCCCCCCTCGTTCACTTCCTACAGAGACACACAAAAACAACAACAACAACAACAACAACAACAACAACATGGCTGCCAGTATTAATGAACGGCACAGTCTTGTCAGTCATATGGAGCTGGTTTGGTTTTGCAGCATCAGACCTCGAACAAGCCACAGTCGGTTTGTTCAACGCCTGTTGCAACTAAAGGCGGCAGCAGCACGACTAGTTTATGACCGCACGTCAGACAGAGGCGTGCAGCCGAGTGGGAGAAATGTGTCTCACTACATCCCACAAACAGCTGCAAATACGAGTCAAACCATTTTGGAGAGAATCTGGAGAGATGTGTTTGTGCTTTATAAAACATACGGCTGCTGATGATTGCACACAGATACTGTACATGCAGAGAGAAATGAAGGGAGATGATGAACTCAGCGAGGTCCAGACTTTGGTTATTATTGAACCGCACAAAAAGTACTACAGACCATGAATGCACCACGCTTTTACACCTGTAGCTGACTGTAAGGATTGTTGAACCAGAGTTCATGTGGCTCGAGCGATGAATACAATAACTCAGTTTTGTTTCCATTCGTCTAGATCTTCCACAGCCAGAGGGTCTCATCTTCAAATCAGTGAGAGAGACCACGGTGGAGGTGGTGTGGGACCAGCTGGACTTCCCCTTCGATGGCTGGGAGATCTATTTCCGCAACACGGTCAGTTTGCCGCTTGAAGGGATTTTTATGAAGCGACAGTTGGGGAAAAAGTGAGAAGTGATAAGCTATGCCTGCTTATTGGAAGTCTCAGCAAAACATGGATTTATTTCAGCGCGGACCATTAAAAATTGCTCTGACGTACAGGAAAAAAAAAAACCTCATTGAGGGCAAGTCTGGGAGCTGCGGGTAAAATCTGCTGCTTCCAATCCGAGGCCAGAAAATTGTGTGAAATTAAACGACTGTGCCAGCTGATAAGTTTGGCAGCCGCTGCAGAGTTTTGTACCACTTTTATCAATCTGTCGTCCTCTCCCGACCCTCGTGTTCATTTCCCTACGCCGGGCCGTGTGTGACAACTATTCTGTCAGGGGTCGTGTTGTTTTGGTTATCAGTCCTTGAACACATTTCCTCTTCTGCGTCGACAGTTTGGTTAATGCATACTGATGCGTCATCAAAGCTCAATTTGCTGCACGCTGCGCTCTTAGAAGTTTTCTGTGACCTGATTTCTGAAGTGTCACAGAGAACAGAGAAATACAGATTATGTTAATTATATAATAAGCAAAGAAAAAAGTAGTGCAGCTTTCTAAACTTTAAAGGTCCAATCAGTGAGATGTGTAGAGAGTGAGATGATAAAGGTATCTTACTATCTGATCATTAAGGAAACATGCTATGTTGAAGTGCTGGCTTCTCTGACAACAATGCAGCAGCCAGTATGTCCTCCTTCTAACTTTAGATTCTGCTCCTGAAAGCTCTGAATTTGTTTGGACCAGAGAAGGTAGGCGCTTTTAAGACACCCCCACACAGCCGTTTTGGACGCCCCTCGGTTTGTCAGATATGAGAGCAGTTATCAGGTCAACAGGTGTTGCAGCGATGGAAGCGGTCAAGAGAAGTGGTTCAGATAGAAGTGATTGTACCCGACCTAAAAAGCCTCTGCATGTTTCTAATAAGCTCCACGAGCAGAAACGTGCTCAAACTAGGATCAATATTGGAGATGCTTTTGAAAAATGGAGAGAGGTTAGAACACAGAAAGGTTTACAGACCCATGCAGAGCTGGATAAACACTGAAGCTTCAGAGTCCACCACATGGTGACCTGAGTGAGCATCCACTCTAAAGAGAAAGACGGGGGGGGGGGCAGCTCTCTACAATGTTTAGAATTTAGACTACAGTACCCACTTTCACCACTAGGTGTCAGAGTTACATACCGCTCCTTTAATAAAAAACGATTAGAGATTGTCACATCTGTCAGGGTTGTACTTCATCGGAGTACAACCCTGATGAAGGGGAAATCTAAACACAGAGCAGCTGGATGTCGTCTCCTGGCTCCTTCAGTTTCTGTTACATTTGATTTCTTGGTTCTCTTGAGTGCATGTCTTTCAAATTAAGATTTGACACCAGTTTGTGCTTTTTTTTGTTTTTGTTTCCGTACAGAAAGAGGAAAATGGAAAAGTCTTGAGCACCGTTTCAAGCTCCCAGAACCAGTTCCTCCAGTCGGGCCTCGGACCGGGCCAGGAGTACGAAGTCTCCCTCAACATAGTCAAGAATGACACCAGAGGACCCCCGACATCCAAAAGAGTTACGACCAGTGAGTGTCACATCTCTGAGAGCAAACATGTGAGATTACAGATGATTCAAAACATCGAGTCAGGACTGGTTTGTCATCTTGCTCCGTCTGGTAGCGATTAGCAGCGTGTTGGACACAGCTTCCCCTCCCTTGAGCACAGAGTTAAGAAAAATACATTAACTGTCAACAGGAGACATTCCTTAATGAAAAGAAGAGTAAAAACAGGAAATCCCCTCCGGCTCTCCGTAGTTCCCTCTAACTCATTTATGCTTACGAGCAATCAGTCAGGCACATTAAATCTCAGCCTAGCATGACCGTGTAACAGCTCAGTTTTTACTTTCACTCAGTCTGCCTCTTAGCTCTCGTCCTCCGCTCGCTTCAACTTTTATTGCAGTATATTGCTCCATACATTACTTTGTGAGACGCTGCCAGTTGTTCATGCTCATCGACATAACATGCCAGGCCAAACGACTTTTCACTGTGCATGGAAAAACCATTTGTTTTACAAGAAGGACTCCCCGAGGGTATCACACCATTTCACGTCTGAAGTCATTTATTTGAGTAGGCTGAAGGTAGACTCGGCTCCAGGACCTGAATTATAGGAGTACGTCCATAACTTTTGGTACTATTTACTATTAAATTCATCCAAGCTCCTCAGCTGTGGAACGACCTGCCCGAGGATCTCAGACGAGCTACATCAGTATCTTCTTTTAAAAACACTTTTTTATCGTAAAGCCTTCTTATAATCCTCGTTTCATCCATGATGTTTTTATTTGTTTCACTGTTAACTTTAGCCAATCTTTGTCTCGGTTCTTTCTCTTTTCTCTTTTAATTGGATGATTGCTGCACGCAACAAAACGCAATTGAACGCCTCGCCTGTAATAAACGCTTTGAGGCTACTTGGTGCACAAAATGTGATTAATTTTTCTTAGCTTGACTTTTTTGTTTTGTTTTTAAAGATTTCTTTTTGGGCTTTTAATGCCTTTAATGGAGAGATAGGACAGTGGATAGAGTCGGAAACTAGGGGGAGAGAGTGGGGAACGACATGCGGGAACGAAGCCACAGGTGGGATGTGAACCCGGGCCGCCCGCCTAAGGTGACAGCCTCCATACATGGGGCGCGCGCACCAACCACTGCGCCACCAGCGCCCCCTTAGCTTGACTTTTTAAAAGGTGTCAAATTAGAATTTAAAAGTGTGCATCCTGGTTCACTGAATGTTGTCATTAGTAATTCCTCTTTCTGCTGATAGTATAGTCACTGATAATCACTCTCTCTCTCTCTTTCTCACCCAACCCCCCCCCCCTCAGGGATTGACGGCCCCCGGCAGGTGGAGGTGAAGGATGTCACAGACTCCTCCGCTCTGATTGGATGGTCTCAGCCGCTGGCTCCAGTGGACAGAATCACCTTGTCTTACGGGCCCGGCTCCGCCCCCTCAGATAAAACCAGCGTGGAGGTTCCTCCTCCAGACAAGCAGTACAGCATCGACGGCCTGCAGCCCGACACCGAGTACAGCGTGTCGCTCACTTCAAGGAGCGGAGACGTCAGCAGTGATCCTGTCCTGACCACATTCACTACAGGTCAGCAGGAGATATCACTCTGAATTTTATATTTTTATTTCATTCAGAGCTTGTGCAGGCCTCGACTTCTGAATATAAACTTATTTTTAACAGATAGATAGATAGTTAGTTAGATAGATACTTTATTGATCCCGAGGGAAATTCAAAGCATCCAGTATCAGGTTACAAAGACGTACATGACATGAAACATTTGTTACAAATTAACCACAAAACCGACCCCCCCCCCACCTCCCTTACATATATATTAACCTGAAGAAAAAGATTTAAAGAGTCTAGATGAATCAAACTTAAACTGTGCAATTAAAAATAGACTTATACAAGAAATGTACATAACCCGTGCAGGGATAAAAATGTGAGATTTAAACAAGAACCTATAAACAGTTGAGGAAAGAAATCTGTAATTAGACCTGAATATAAAAAATAAAAAAAGTGTTGACCTTCTGAAGTTGTGTTGTTTATATATGTACAGCAATGTTTAAAAAGAAGAAAAAAACAGACAGTAAATAACAGTCAGTGCAAACATTAAAGGTAAGATTTAAATAATTGTGAGAGTCTGATAAAAGTCTGATGCAAATACACAAAGTCCATCATGTTGAGATGGCAATGGGGATATAATAATTTATCCAAATGATTTACAGATAAAAAAAAATATGTGAAGCGTTGAGTGCAGTGTTGTTTAATCTAGAGCGATTAATTGACCAGCCGATAATATCGGCCGAAATTAGCATATCAAGTGACTATCTGCATCGGCTATTTTTTATCTCGGATATGCATCAAAATTACAAAAAAAATGTAATCAGTCAAGTAGCGTTTCATTTGAGTATCATTGTATAACACTAGAAATTCTCTTCAAGCTGTCTCCAGCTAACAAACTGTAATCCAGGATTACAAACTCCACATGCCTCTGGGCGACCCCCCCCCCAAAAACAGACTGCATCTGGTATAGCTTACTGGTCCAGCTCAGACTGCAGATTTTACAGAAAGATTAAAAATGTATACATTGTGCATTAATGTAAAGTTTGTGAGCAGAACGTTTATCTGACTTGAAAATGTATTTGCTCAGCCCTGGATGGTCCCAGAAACCTGCAGGTCGTTTCCCAGACAGAGGACAGCATCGCTCTGGAGTGGACGAACAGTCGAGCCGACGTCGGCAGCTATCGAGTGAAATTCAGCCCCATCTCTGGAGCGAGCCACGGCGAGGATCTGTTCCCACGAGGGCCGGGAGAAACCACCGGAGCTACTATCACAGGTAACGCTCAAAAGCACGAGATAAAAAGTCTGCACACTCACAGATTCTATCAGTCACACCTCCGGGGTCTCTCACTCCGTTTGGCAGGGCTGAAGCCGGGGACGGAGTATGGGATCGGAGTGACTGCTGTGAAGAATGAGAGAGAGAGCCTCCCTGCTACAACCAACGCAGCGACTGGTGAGAAACGCAGCAGAGCAGCTGTGCAAACAGTCGTCCTTCTCACCCCTTCATAAATATCCAGACGGGAGAATTTGTTGATACAAATTGGGTGATGAAATGAAACTAATGGGGCAAAAAGTGAAGCAACAGAAGTGATGAGAGATTTAAAAAACACCAGAGTGTGAAATTTACGATCAAGTCTGTTTTCTCTTCCGTCAAGACATCGACCCTCCCACTGATTTCGAGGAAGTGGAGTCCACAGAGACGTCCCTCACCTTGAGGTGGCGGAAACCGGAGGCCAAGGTGGGCGCCTACAGGCTGGTGTACGCCACCGGAGACGGCCTGATCGAGATCGAGGAGATCCCGGCCGCGGCGACGAGCCACGTTCTCACCGGCCTGACTCCTGGGATGAGCTACACCCTCACTCTGGCTGCAGAGAGAGGTCTCAAGAGGAGCTCGCCCGTCACAATATCTGCATCCACAGGTGGGTGGAGAACGATGTCATGGCGATATGATGATAAAAATAAGTTCAGGAGAAAAGAGGAAATAAGTCTTTTAGTATGATACATTTAAAGTTCTCCAAACATTTCAGTTAAAACTCGGCTTGTCGAGCAATAATTTCTTTTGAAAACACGATTATTCCAAAAGTTGATCGCATGTCTGAAATGATATATTTTTTGCATTTCAAAACTGTTTTTGTTATGCTTTTATTTTTATATTAATTTTTATTTTTTAATTTTATTTTTATATACATTTTTTATTTTTTTATTTTTTTATTTTTTTATTTTATTTTATATAAATTTTTTTATTAGGTGCAATAGAGTGACAAACTTGTGACATATACAAATGAGGCACACAAAAAAAAACAGACAAGGTCAGGACAACAAATTCAAAACACAGTAAAAAAATAAAAAAAAATAAAAAAAATAAACAAATAAAGACATGCTTATCAAAATATGCTTTTATTTTCAACTGATCCAAAAATGCATCCACCAAACAACAAGAACTCCATGTGTCATTCATTTTTGCACCACGTTCAAACCATTGTCCAAGTATCTGCTGCTCCGGAAACCGTTCAGCATGCCGCCCTTTTGTAGCCAGTGAGTGTTGTCGTTTGTTGTTGAGGATTACATCTTCAACGTTGGAGATAAATCTGCAGCAAAACGATGATGATCAATATGACTCCTCTCTGATGCTTTCTTGATTTGTGCCTTTTTTTGTTTTTCCTTGTAGCCTCTTTCACATTTTATTTAGCTGACTCTGACGACCGTGAGCTAACGACTCCTACAGGCGCCGAGGACAATGTCATTAGCTTTTCAAATTTAGATCCCTCTGAGCCTCGCTTCTCTGGGGCGGAGCCTGAGGACGAGCTCGGAGCGCTGACGATTTCGGGCGTCACGCCTGAAGGATTTGACCTCTCGTGGAAACTGAGCGCTCGCACAGTTTATGACGGTTTCACAGTCGAGTATACAGACACACAGGGACTGTCAGACGTGAGAGAGATTCAACTTCCTGGAGATGCCACTGCCTCTAGAATCCAAGGCCTTGAGGCATCAACAGAATATCAAATAAAACTCAGTGGAATAAGCGGTAGTCAAAGATCTGCACTACTTGAAGCGGTTGCAGTTACAGGTATACGTTTTTCTTTGAGACCAAATGTTTCAGGGACACTTTGACCTTGTTCAGACTGCTCGTCAAAATCAAAAAAATCTGGTGAAAAAATGAAAACAATGTGGAATTGGAAAAACTGCAATTCCTCAAGCGTCCACTTGGACTGCCTCTAAAAGCCCAGGAAACCCCATCAACTCTAAAAAGCAAACTTAAGCAGCAGAAATCAAAATGTTCACATCCTGGTATTTAAATGATTTGGGTCTGAAAAGCTCATTTCTTGAGGGATGATGCCTGTTTTTAGATCTGTTTGAGACAGCCTTTTCAAAATGGCGGCTGCCATTGTTTGGCTTCAAAATTCCCTCTCCAGAAACCAATGAGTGATGTCACTGAGACTACGTCCATGTTTCATACAATCTGTGGTCAGCCTTCAGGCATATCTGATTTTATGAAGATTGTTTTAAAGCCTTGACAGCAAAAAAAAAAAGTTTTGTGATTTTTGCAAATGGGATCCAACTCACATCTGGAGGCGGGGTTAAAATTCAATTCCAATCACTTCTGTTACTGACTGTCTTTTAGATGTCAAATTGAAATGGATTTTGCTGCAGTCTAAACAAAGCCTCTGTCCTGTAGTTTCCACAACTTTTCTCTTCACTGGAAACGAAGTGAAATGCTTGCTTTAACCAGAGAGGCGTTATGATTTGCATGATGAGTTGAGATTTTTAGAGTTAACAAAAATCATCTGCAAAACGTTTAGGAGGAACAGCATGACGACAAACCAAACAAAGAGAACCTTAACTCATTTCCATTTCATCCCATCCGTCATCTCAAACAAGGCTTCTGTAGAGAAAGTTGCTTTCCAAATTTCAAATACAGGAAGAAGAAGTCTAAAGTGGGAACTCTGGGCCTGATTCACAGGAAGACTGTGCAGGTGTTGCTTGAACTAAACCTGTTGCAAATGAGACAAAAAGACAAAGTCTAATTCACAAAGCATATGCAAAGGGTTTAATGTAACCCTGAGTGTGCCAGAGAGAAAATAACGTCTTTGCGTCGCTTTTGATTACACATATTTTAATGAGCCTTTATGCTTTCGTTTTGGGAAGATTTGGCCGCTTTTGAACTTGGAAAAAACATCTTCTTGAAAACCAACAGTGTTAACGAGCTGGTGGTAACTGCGCCACAGTATTTACAAATGGCAGTTTCCACAGGATTCTTTGGAAGCGACTAGTGATCAGAATTCAAATGATAAAGCTAATTTGAAAATGAAAATGCATTAACAGAAATGCTTTTTAATTCTGTGTATTATTTGACTCAAAAATAAAATTCTGACTAATTTATCTAATTTGCCCCACCACCTATCGTACTGCGCGTTCGGCCTGGGAGTGGAAGTCTGACGTCACTTTCCTGCGCCATCCACTTTGCCATTTCATTTTCTAGTTGGTTTGAATTGTGAGAACTTTTTAGCACGGCAAGTTTGAAAACGAAAAGCCAAAGACCTTTTTGTCTTCATTTGAATTATGTCATACACTATGCATGATACAGATTTAGCGGAGCATTTTTTGAAAATGAAAAAGCAAATGTCATTTTCTTCTTCATTTTAATTTAGAATGTACATTTTTGAAGTTGAAAACTAAAATGCAAATTAGATAAATTAGTCATATTTTTATTTTTGAGTCAAATAATACATAAATGATATTCAGAAAATTAAAAAGCATTTCTGTTAATGGATTTTCATTTTCAAATTAGCTTTATCACTTGAATTCTGATCACTAGTCGCTTCTATAGGAATCATGTGCTTAGCTTTCAAACAGCTCGAGCCCCCACCCCACTTGGTCCATTACTGGATTGTAAGCGCAGCAGAGGGCATGGGTCATGCAGGAATAAAGAGAAACAACGTGCAAACAACAGGTTGAATTAGTCTTTCCAAGGATGTTTTTTTCTGTTCATTTGGTGACTGCTTCGACGCTTTGTTGATAAAGTGATGGGATACAGGATCTGGAGTCTGAACACATTGCTTCAGTTTGATATTGTGCATGCAGCTGGCTCCGTCAAAAAAATAGACTCGGCGCATATTTGGAGCAGAGCGGATTGTCGCTGCTGGCACCTGCAGGAGACAGACAGTGGAAACACGAGCATTCAATAGACAGCGCAGCGCACATGACTCCTGTGGAAACGAGCAGAAAGGGGATATCGCGCAACTTTCCAGTGATCTGGACGAGCTGCTTTGGCTGACAGGTGAAAATAAACTTGTATCACATCTGGAAAAACTTCATTGCGCAATAAACAGGGAAAGGTGTCTCGTCCACATCCAGAGAGAGAGAGAGGATGCTGACAGCTCATCAGACTCAAACCACCAAAACACTTTATTTGCCGGTTTGTGCTTGAATGCCATTAGCCCAATATGCTCTGTGAATTGGACCTCGAGAGGAAGCCATAGATTTGACTTTATGTCGCTTTTAGCAGCCGCTGTCCATTCTCAGTGAATCCTCCCCTCTGAGTTCCCTGATTCATTAATAACCTTCAAGTACACAGACAGTCCACTGTCCCAGCTTCATCCTGCATTTGACTTTTAAATGCCCCAATTTTTCTCTAAAAGCCTGCACCGCTGATTTCATCCTCATCACTCGCCGCCTGCCGCCACAATTAAATGCTTCCCCCGGCAGTTGGAGAAAATGACACGGTGTGTCACCCGCATGTCAAAGAAGTTGAGTTTTGGACAGTCTCTTTTTTTAAAGATAGCAACAACAACAACAACATGGCTGTGCATGGCTTCACCATCCATTTGAAGACGACTGTGTACTTTCACGCTGGTGGACTACTCAGAAACTTCAAATATTAATGGCTCTGACTCAGGCGCCATTAATGCCTCAGCTGCTTCTTAGTATGAGCAACGATTCAGGAAAAAGATGGAGCATAAGAAACAAGAGAAAGTGCTGAAATCTACTCAGAAATGAGGAAGTTTGTGCAGCTATTATTTCTCTTAAATACTACTGTATGCTCTAATTTTATTTTTTTTAACCAAGTGTCTTCTTTACAGGTTATTCTTTTCAGCAGATCCGGTAACAACATTCCTTCATTAACCTGCTTTTATTCATTTTAGCAACCAAGCCTACCTCTCCTGACGTGCTAATGCTGAGAATCAAAAATGCCCAAACGACCCCACAAACTGCTCGGGATACTCAACAAACTCAAACCCCAGAACCCCTTAACACTGAGGCCCCTCCCACAACAGAGGCCCCTCCAATTTCAACAGCTCCTCCCACACATGTGGCCCCTCCCATTGCAGAGGCTCCTCCCACACATGTGGCCCCTCCCATTGCAGAGGCTCCTCCCACACATGTGGCCCCTCCCATTTCAGAGGCTCCTCCCGCTTCTGATTCTGATGTAATGAGCTCTGGGGCTGAGCCTGAGAGCTCGATCTTGGATGTAGTGAGAAACCTCACAGTCAATGTTTCCTCCTCTAGCGTCAGCCTGATGTGGTCGGCGCCCGATGAGGCGTTCGATAGCTTTTCGGTCGAGGTCAGTGCTTCATCAAAAACTCACCTGACCTCACTGCCAGGAAATATAAGGAAGGCTGAAATCGAGGGTTTGACGCCCTCAACACAATATAATATAACATTACATGGGCTGGTGGAAGGGAAGAGATCTTTACCTCTCACAGTTTTTGCCACAACAGGTACATGGAGCTTGATTTGTTATTTTAAGGCTCGCATCACATCCCGTCTTCATCACAGTCACTCCTTTAAAATGTTTCAGGATGCCTGCATGGTTATTTTTGTATTCATCAGAGAATTGATGTTAATCGTAATATACAAAATGTTTATCCCCCCTCCCATTTTGCTCTGCTTTTACTACTACTGTGTCAGAAAGTTTAAATATTGCATGAATATTGTGTTTTAACTTGAAAACAACTGAAAAAGTTGCAATTTTAAAGTTCTGTTATGTTGAAAAAGATTTCAAGTTTTGTTCATTTAGTGTTTTAAATAATTTAACTTATCATCCCCATAAATCTTCAAATAATTTTTCCAAATCTTAAAACTTTACTTCCTGTTAGCCAACTTTGTTTTTGTCAGAGTTTCACTTAAATCCTGAAATCTGCCAAAGCAAAATCCTGACATCGTCTCAAATACGATGTTGGACCTTTCGAGATGAATCATTGTGAAAGTTATTTTTTTCTTTTCATTTGACCCCACTCTGATCTGTCTTATCTACCAGCTGAGCTGAAGCCCTCGGTGGTGAACCTCACCATCTCTGACAAAACATGGGACGGCTTCACTGCGTCCTGGCGCCCCGTCGATGGGGAATTTGAGACCTTTGTCATTGAGGTAACAAACTTGGAGAATTTCGCAGAGAGCCAGAACCTCACTGTGTCCGGAGACGCTCTCAGTCTGGGCATCTCGGGGCTCAATCCCAACACCAGCTACATGGTTGGCCTGTTTGGGATGCATCAGGGCTCCTTCCTTGAACCACTGTACATTGAAGCCACCACAGGTACCAGCGACTTGAAGTGTTGCAGACCTTTAAATCTTTCTTTCCTTTTTTTTGTGTTTATAATTCAGACACTAGATCCTCACTCACATTGAAACATCCACACCTCGCTGCATGAAACAAAACAAAACAATAACCCGATTCCTCTTTCATCACCGCTGTCCAACACCCTGATCACTTTGAAATGTACCTCTTCATCTTAACCAACATGCCATGAACCATTCCTTACCCTCCAGCCACTGTTTCTGTCTCGCTGAGAGAGGGCAGGGTGATGAAATCGCATCACCGAGCCAAGCAAACGGCCCCTCAAATGTTCACCCTTACTCCCCTGAACTGCTCCCATCATCCCAGTTACAAAAGTGCATGAAGCCCCCCTCCCCCTCCCCCTCTCCATCGCTCACTCTACCATCCCCTGCATCGTGGTGAGGTTTGACGCTGATGTGCTGCAATGATTGCAAAAGCAACAAAAACCAATAACTCTCGCTCTCACACGCCCGTCACACCATGACAGCGTGACCATCTCATCTCATCCCATCAGCCGCCATTCAGTGTGTAATCGATTAACCTTGAAGGGATCATTTGCCCGTTGGATGTGTCAGTGCTCGCGTGAGTTCAAGTGACAATTTGTGTGAATGACACAGTTAGTTTTGACCATTTGATCGTTTAGATTTGCCAGTTTTTGATGCTCAGTTTGTTTGAGTCTGGTTTCTTTAAAGTAAATACACTAATTTCCTTCTGGACTGCTAGGTGGCAAATGATTAAATCCTCTTGTCACTATCAAGGTAAAGAGCTGATATCGTCTAACAGTACGCCACCTTTCTAAAAGCTTGAATGAAGCTTAAACAGTTTGCTGCAAGCTTGAATGCATCTGAAATTCTTTCTAATTGCACTTGAAACATCTTTTAAAGAACCTAGCTGTCCTGTTCTGCTTGGATTGATCTGGTGCAACATTTTGCAGGATAGATCTGGTCCTCTTGTTAACTGCATGCTCTGATCTGCATGTCACGGACACAACTGAATTAATTACTTCACCACATTTCACATTTAAAAACAACACCTACTTCACTTAAACTTGCAGGTTAGATTTCTTCAGCTATTTACAATGAAGGCTTTTGGCAAAACATGTTTTATCTGTTTTTAATCCTCAAAGGCATTGGGCATAGTCGGTTCAGATTCTTGTGCTGCTAAGTTAGAATTTGATGCACATTTGCATGTGTTTAATCTTTTATTAAGCTACTCAGGCAATCAGGAATTGCTAATCGGTGGTGGTGAGTTTCCTTTCACACTATGTGATGCACTTTGACTAGAGCCTGACTGATATATTGGGATGCCAATATTCACGTTTATATCGGTATAAGCGTATACTTTCGAATTTATGCAAGATACTGAATCGTTTTTACAAAACAATCTAAGCAGGGTTTTAAAACGGAGTGACAGTTTAGATTGTCCAGCAGACTGGCTAATAGTGATGTGAGTGATTAGCCAACTAAACAATTAAACATCATCACCCTTGCAAGTCGTCACCTGAATTGCTAGTCAGTTAAACTTTGGATTTCACGTTTATGCTATGTCGTAACTGTTACGCAGCAGCCTGCCACTAGATGGGGCTGCAGCTCCAGTTAATAGAAACAGAAAATACACTTCACCATGTTCCTCTAACTCTAATATGTGTCTCTAGTCTGTCTACAAACCCCCCATGATGAGAAAAGTCCATCCTCTCTGTCTTTTACCTGCTCCACTTTTCAGAAAATGTGTGCTCAAGCAGGCCGTTTGGAGATTTTCCCTTCATGACATCACAAAGGGCAGTAGCCCCTCCCCCAGGTGGGTGACACTCCCACAGCTAGGTGTTTGTTCTGCCCTCTGAGTCTGCCTTCTCACCGTAAACAATAGGACATGGAGCGAGAAAGCACTGAGTACACCCAAAGCCCTTTCAGAGAGGGGGCGTGGTCAGACACAGCTCATTTACATATTTAAAGGTACAGACACAGAAACAGCCTGTTCTGAGCAGGGCTGAAATAGAGGGGCTTATAGACATGATCAAATACAGGATCAGAGTGGATTTAGAACAAGAAACTTCACACACATGTTTTGAAGATCTCTGAGACTCCGCTCTTCTTGTCTGCAGCACACGTAGCTTAGCATCACAGCCAAGCAGAATTCACTGGAACAGGTTGATGATGTACGTGTTTGTTTGATTAAGATATCAACTGTGTGAGTACCTCAAGGTTGGCGTGGTATATTTTCTAATTTCAACTTTCAAATACGCTACATTGGTTGTGTGTGTAATTCTCCGTTTCAACATCCCGTATTGGTCAGGCTCTAACATAACCTCAAACCTTCCAATAATTTATTATCATCACTAATTGTTCTGCACAAAGATTCTAACCACGATTTCTCCCTTCAGTGATTTTGCCAACGCTTGGCAAACTATTTATCTCAAACTTAACATCCGAGAGCTTTTCAATCCACTGGAACGGCACTGATGGAACATTTGATGGTTTTATCCTGGAGATTATTGATTCTGACTGGCTGACAGAGCCGCGAGAATGTAATATATCCCACGTTGTAAAATCCTATGACGTCACGGGGCTCCGGCCCAGCACTGATTATGTAGCCTACCTCTATGGGACTTACAAGGGATCCCGAACAAGCGCTGTCAGTATTGTTGCATCAACAGGTATTTAGATTTCTTTCTTTGTCTAACTTTAAGATAGGCCAATCTCTAATTATGATATCATGTTATTGTGTGACTGTAAGGTTAACTTCAGACTGGGTGTTAAGTCAGACACATATTCATGCTTTTTTATTCCCATAAATGAACATCTGTTATATTTTTTTCTCCCCTGTAGCTGAAGAGCCTGATTTATCCAGGCTAGTCGTTTCTAACATTACCTCAGACAGATTTTCTCTGTCATGGCGGACAGGAGGAAAGGCTTTTGATAATTTCATAGTAGAAGTCAGAGAGTCTGCTTTGCCCTCGCAGGCGATGGGGCGTGCTCTCACCGGAGACGTGCGCTCAACGGTCATGGCCGGGCTCAAAGCGAGCACACGGTACAACATAAAGCTGTACGCCAGCGATGGCAGCCAGAACACGCCGCCCCTGTTTGAAGTAGCTACAACAGGTATCACTTTACATGCAATTTTCTTTTTAACACCCCATGTGCAAACCCACACTTTGTGATTTTCTCAGCACAACCTGAAACTGAAAGTTCTTCTTCCTGTTCAGAGGATGTCCCCCTGTTGGGGCCCGTAGCAGCGTCATCTGTGAGCCCACATGACCTCAGCGTGTCCTGGAGAACTGTGTCAGGACACTTTGACGGCTTTGTTATCCGGGTCAGTGACCCAGAGCAGCAGTCTGATACGCTGGAGTTCAGACTGCCGGGCGACGCTCGTAACTTTACCGTCTCTAACCTGATGGATGCCACAGGCTATGATATTGAGCTGTATGGTGTCTCTCATGGGCGCCAAACTCCCTCTGTGTTAGCCCACGCCGTCACAGGTACTATGTATTTTACTCACATCTGGAGCTCCTGTCACGAGTGAATGGAAACCATCTGTTGCTTTTACATTTTTCAGAGGATTGGTATCAAAACCTTTGAATTGACTTAAGTGCTTTCTGCTCAATTACCCAGAACAACTCAAAATTAATGACGACTTCAAACCTTTTTTATCGGCACATGTGAAGGCCGTGACACATTAAGAGCAGATTTCACACGCAGCATTAGCATCAAATGTTTTCTCAATCTGGGAGTATTTATACCCATAAAATATTTGATTTATAACCATGAAGAAAAGTAATGTGAACATCTACTTCTGTTTTTATTATTTAATACATATTCACCTTAAAGGAAGAATGTGCAACATTTTTATCCAGTAGATGTCGCCCTTGAGCACCAGCATGAAACCAAAACAAACTGCTGTTAGGCCACGCCTCCTCCATCCTGAAGCCTCCGCTCTCCTCCAGAGACACACCTCCAACACCCCTCTCCACTCGCGTGCGCACATAGAATTTATTACTGTAAATATTATTTATCTTATTTTTACCTCATTTTATTTTATCTATTTTACCTTATCTTATTTTACCTTATTTTGGTTGTATTGCACCGCAGGACGGAGACAAACGCAATTTCGATTCCACTGTATGTCTGGCATATTTTGAAATTGACAATAAAGTTGACTTTGACTTTGACTTTGAAGTCAAGCGCGAGTGATGAATAAAATTGTCCTTTGTTCGAGCAGCACCTCTGACCTGCATTGTTGTGTTAGCATGCTATGTTAGCGCTCTGTAGTTAGCTCGTAGCTTCACATTTCATGTAAACTGACACAGAATGAGCGTGAGCTAAAAACACTTCATGACATTCAAATAATCAGTGAGTATGTTCTTCTTCTTCTCTCTAGTTCTTGACTAAAACAGCTTTTATACACAAGGGGAGGAGCCGGCCGTCCCGTCCATGTAAACACGGCTCTGACAACAACACAGCCAGCGGGACTCGAGCTTCTCCCTCATTGTAGACAGTCAGGACTCAGAGACACATTTACACAGGACAGACTTTATGATTTATTTATGTGGAACATGTCGCACATTCTTCCTTTTAAATAGCCGCTTTCATGTGGTTGATCGGTTTTATCCAGCGTTAGAGGAGGGACACCGACTCGACTCTGTTAGCGTAAGAAACACCACTCTGGAGAAACAGTTACAAGAACATAACCTGCATTTTAAAGCGTGCAGACGGGCAGAACTATTGGCAACAAAGTTTATAGAACATTTCAGCCCTATAAAGTTTCATTGGTAGTGATAAAGATAAAAGACCAGAAGTGTGTTTGTATTTTTTGTATCAGGATGTAAAAAAAGTTTTCTTTATTTAAAATGCTCTTCTATGAGGATTGACTCACTGTTGGAGCCGGCCTCTAGTGGCAGCTCCAGGAACTGCAGCCTGTGGCTTTATCCTTTTTGTATCTGTGGTTGCAGCTTTGTTGGCACTTCAATTCTGAGTGGAGGGAAATAATCTTGGCTAAGAGAGTAGAGTTGTGTATTTTTTTAAAGATGCAGTACCGCTAATGGCCACCATAGGACTTTTACGTTCTCTAAATGTCTTTGGAGCGGACTGTAAGATTGTAAGAAAATCCAGTGGTCTTTGTTTAGTCACGCTTTTGTTCATCCTTTGATTTGATTTTTCGGCTCCAGACAGAATCCCCTTTTGCGTCCTCTAAACTGTTGCTTAAGAGACGTCTAACTACGGTTTGTTTTAGAAGCGTATAAATCTCTCTGATGTGTGAAAAATCTGCTTTATTTATGTGATTTGGACTTTATTCACATCAAACGTTCCTGCCTCCGTTGAATGTCTCAGGAACAGAACAGATTTTTTGTGATTTGCTTTTGCAACCATTGCACACATCACCTATCCTCAGCTAACCTTCTCCCCCCTCCAATGTGTCTCCTCTCACAAAAAAAAAAAATCAAACCCACTTTCCTCCAGCTCCTTTGCCCAGAGTGGAAAACTTAACCATATCCAACATAACCCCCTACGGCTTCCGGGTGTCATGGGAGGTGAAGCAGCAGCAGCAGCACCAGCACCAGGAGGAGGACTTAGCCCCCTCTAGTGGCGGTTTCAGCCGTTTTCACATAGTGGTGACAGACTCCGGGTGGCTGCTGGAGCCGCAGGAGTTCACCGTGCCAGGAAACCAAAGTCACCTGGACATCTGGGGCCTCATCACAGGGATAGGCTATGAGGTCAGGCTGACGGGGGTGTCAGAGTCAGGGCTGCTCTCTCGGCCTCTGAACACAGTGGCTGCGACAGGTACCACTCACAGCGCCCCCGCAAAGCCCACTCCTCCTAATGAAACGTGCAACTCTTCAACTCTGTGTCGGTGCAACTACTGTACATAAACGATCGTAACATTTTAAGATACCGGTCGGAAGTTTCACCATCAGAATCTGGCAGGTTGAATTGACCTTGTTTATTTGACACAAATTAATAACTCCCGCTTGAAATCTGGCATGCCCCCTCAGAGTCCTGGATCAAGTCTTTGGGCTTTGATTCAACAGCGGCGAGTAGTTTTCTTTGCTTTTCAAAATGGCATCTTTAAAGTATATTAAAATCTCAACCTCTACGCCACGTTCTGATGGTGAGGCGTCAGCTTGGTAACTCTAACCCTAACTCGCCTTCTTCCTCAGAATGATCTCACTTCTCTTCTAACTCCAGCTTTTTTTTCTGAGTTTGCAGCTTCCTCGCCGGGGGGGGGAACAGACGTGAGGCTGCCGTCTGTTTCTTCCTAAACCCTCCAAAAATATGAGCAAGCACATCCGGTTGGTTCTCATATTTTAAAATGTGTTTTCCTCCAGATGTTTCGACGGATCTCAAAGTTTTTTAACAGCAATCTAAATCAATCAAAAAGCCCCGAGAAATTGAGCAGACATTTGAAAGGAAAACACTGACAAATCAGCGAGACATTCTGAGCATGAAATGTCCGCTGATTTGACCTCTGACCTCGTTGATTTCTTTCTCTATTGATTGCACTCACTCCGGTTGTGATGACGCATGAGGACCCGTGCTGAAATCCACCAAACAGATCTGTTAATGTCGTCTGACATTGAATACACGTTTACAAAAAAGCATCTTCTCCTCTCTCGCCTCGACAGCCTGCGCGTTTACACTAACGGACGCCTGAGCATGACCGATCGGAGTCTTTCACTCTTCCACCTGGAAACCTTCTAGTCTTGACCGCTGACTTCCTCCAAACTGGCATCTTTTTTTCGCCCCAACGCTCCAAAGTTCATGAAATAAGATTGGGGAGAAACACCCCTGAAACCTGCTGCAACGTTTTATGTTTTATCTTCTCTTAACCCAGAGGCCGAGCCGGAGGTGGAGCATCTCTTCGTCTCAGACGTCACGGCCGACGGTTTCCGCGTGTCGTGGGCGGCCAACGACGACCTTTTCGACCGATTTGTGATCAAAGTAAGAGACGGCAAAAGGTTAGCCCACCCGCAGGAGTACAGCGTCCGCGGGGACGAGCGCACCAAGGTTCTGACGGGACTTATGGGGGGCACCGAGTACGAAATCGAGCTCTACGGCGTCTCGTTGGACCAACGCTCCCAACCGATAACGGGGGTCGCTCAGACAGGTATATGAAGACACTGCAGAGTGCGACGTCTTTTACTAACTACAGAGTCCCTCTGCACCTTTAAGAAAAAGCTAAAGACCCAGCTCTTTCATGAATACCTACTAACTTAATGATGATGGTCTCCATATTATTGATGATGATGATGGTAATGACGATGGTTTTTGTTTGATAACGACGACTTATAAGATGGTTTCTATACTGATTAGAGCTCTCAAGAACTGCCCTCAATGTTGTGCTTTGCCTCTGGTCACTTCCTGTCAGCACCTGTGTGTCCAATCAGACTCAAAGTTGATCGTTTGCTCTTACTGACATTGTTCCCTTTTTTCTAGATCCTTGCCTGTGTTGTTCTTACTCTCTGATGTACGTCGCTTTGGATAAAAGTGTCTGATAAGTGAAATGTAGAATTGTAGAACTACTAAACGGTTGAGCTGTCTTCTTCTTTGTGTGGCGGCGGCCGTCAGAGCGCCGCACCTCCTCTAATCGCCTCTATCCCTGCGCTTTAGGCTTCACTCCTCGTCTGACTCTAAAGGAAACAATCTGTGGAGTTTCATCTGGATCTTTTTTTTTTGGCCGTACTTGATAGACTTTAATTTAACCGTCTTTTTTTCCTCTACTTCCTGTCTGCACATTTTTCCTTCTTTCCACCCTCTCAGGTCTGAGCACTCCAAAGGGGCTTCACTTCTCTGAGGTGACCGACTCCTCTGCCGTGGTTCACTGGTCCATGCCTCGCTCTCCCGTCGATAACTACCGAGTCACCTACATCCCCTTTGAAGGAGGTGAGACACTAACTCCCCTTAAAGGAACAGAGCACTCTTTTTTTTTTTCTGAAGTGTTCATGTGATTTTTTTAAATTTTCTGCTCTGACTCCACAGGGAGCCCGATGTCGCTGACCGTGGACGGCGGCGTGTTCGAGACTCTGCTGCCCAACATGATCCCCGGCAAAGTTTACCAAGTGATCGTGAGCGCTGTGAAGGGTCTGGAGGAGAGCGACCCGAGCACCGACACCGTGACCACAGGTTTGACTCTCTCTTCTCTCCTGATAGTCTCTGAAACTGAATCAACGCCGCCGTGTCCTCTTGACTCTGTGTTCCTGTTTTGTGCTCTCCTCCAGGTCTGGACAAACCTCAGGGTCTGATCGCGGTTAACGTCACCGACACGTCAGCGCTGCTCCTGTGGCAGCCGTCTGTGGCCACAGTGGACGGCTACGTCATTACTTACAGCGTTGACTCAGGTGTGTTTCTCTTTACGGTCATTTCATTTATTTACATTTTTTTTTTACATATTATGGAACAAACCGCCTCAAATCCAGCATCCACCTCTTGATTCCAACAGGGGGGTGTTTAAGATATTGAATCATCACTGCTCAATTTTCTGCATGTGAAATACTCGCGACCTCTTAAAGCGACAGTACATGTTTTAACACATTAGTTTCAGTACAGAACACACGCTAGGCAAGGAAAGTTTATTTCTATATCACATTTTGACAACAAGGCAATTTAAAGTGCTTCACAGAAGACATCAAAAAGCATCATGACAGAGGAAAGAAAAGAAACATTAAAATAGAAAATTTAAAAATCACTGAAATTATTAAATCTGAAAATATGTTCAAATAAAAATAATTAGAATGAAATTAATTGAAATAAATAAAGTAAAAATATAAAAAAAGTTACAGTGCAGAGTAAAAGTTTAAAATCTTATTAAAGCTGTTTAATGAAAGGCAGCTGTAAACAGGTGAGTCTTCAACCTGGATTTAAAAGAGCTGAGAGTTTCAGCAGACCTGCAGTTTTCTGGGATTTGATCCAGATATAAGGAGCATAGAAACTGAACGCTGCTTCTCCATGTTTGGTTCTGACTCTGGGGACAGAGAGCAGACCTGTCTCAGACGACCTGAGCGGTCTGGATGGTTCGTAATTAATCAGGAAGTCATTAATGTATTTTGGCCCTAAACCTTTAAGCGCTTTATAAACCAGCAACAGGATTTTAAACGCTAAATAAAAGTTTTTTTTACCTTTTCACCCTGATATGAAAAGTCAGTCTGGCGTCTCTGTCCTGAGATATTTAAAAGATGTTTTGTCGTATTTACCGGATGCCCCCCCCCCCTTGCAGTGTCCCCCGTGGTGGAGCATGTTTCCGGTAACATCGTGGAGTTCGAGATGGACTCACTGTTTCCAGGAACTCACTACACAGTCGGAGTTCATGCGATGAGAGAAGCTCAGAAGAGTGACTCAGCCGTTACTGACTTCACCACAGGTAATCTGACAGGCAGGAAACTGAATGTTGGATATTTGATCCCTTTTTTCTAAAGTGAAACGTTGTGGTTTTTTTCAGACGTGGACCCTCCTCGTGATCTGACAGCCGTCAACATTCAAACCGACAGCGCCACGCTCACCTGGAGACCCCCGCAGGCTGCAGTCACCGGTTACACGCTCACCTTCACCTCCGCTGATGGAACCATCAGGGTCAGTCTCTCTCCTTCCGTCAGTTATGTCACCAGAGATTAGACGTGTTTAAAAACAGAAACCAGAAACTTTGTCCATGCGATAATCCTTTTTCTGACGCTCTCTACTCCATATTTCATTTCAGTTCAAACCTTTATTTATTCTCAAAAGGACACTGAGGTTTCCCTCATTTTCTAACGCCGTCGAGATTACAAGCACAGTAAAACAAGCAAAAAACACAACAAACACTCAGATTCTGTGACAAAAACCACTGAGATCATTTAAAACAGTTACAATTTGAAACAAAGTTGTTAAAAATAAAATTCCACTATTCCACTCCAACAGGTCTATGATGTAAGGTGGAAGTTTTCCAATAAGAGCCTTAAAGATATATAAAAAACAATGTTTGTTGCGTCTCTCTTCAAGAGAAGGTCGACCGATCCTCTCATACAGGTCACAGTGATGATGACCTGAGGGCGGAGCGATATACGGCGTCCACAGGCTTCAAAGTTGAAGCTGCAGCATGTCTATAAATGACATCGCCGTAATCCATCACTGACAAGAACACAGCTTTAATGATTCTTTTTCTGCACGATAACGGAAAACTTGATTTGTTTCTGTACAAAAAGGAACTTAAAAGTGAGTTCCACATGCCAAGATATCTATACTCATATACTCTCTCGATGTCTGAGCCATTTAAAGAAGATATACGTACGCTCTCGTAATCAATATTTTTGGCTCTCGAGAATAGCATAAATTTTGTTTTAATGTCATTAAGCAGCAGTTTTTGGCTAATGAAATATTCTTGGACAGAATTAAAAGCAAGTTGTAAGTTCTTGATGGCCAACTGTACAGAATCTGCAGTACAATACAAAATAGTGTCGTCTGCATAGAGATGGGCATGACAACCATTCAAAGAAGAAACAGTGTAATTAACATTGAAGAGCATGGGACCCAGGACTGAACCTTGTGGCACACCTCTATTAATGAACAAAAATTCAGATTTAGCATGACCTAGCTTAACACACTGACGCCTGTCAAGCAAATAATTCTGAAACCAGGCACATGCACTTCCATCCAACCCAATAGCATCTAATTTCTTTAAATATGTGTGATACACGGATACAGGAAGTGGTGCTCAGCGAGACGGCGTCCTCTTACAGCATGGCTCAGCTGACTGGCTCCACCGAGTACAACGTCCGACTGCAGGCCATCGCCGGAGCGCAGAGGAGTCGACACGTTAACACCATCTTCACCACCAGTAAGGGTCACAGCTTTTTATTATATCGACCTGCTAACGCTGGTCAAAGTCATGGCGCCGCTTTGAGCAGTAAAAACTCCACTTTGAGGTTTTGCAGCCGTCAATGTGATGTTTTTTTTTTCTACTTTGAAATTCCTCTCTTTGAATGTGATATTCCACCTGTGCTTGTTTTTCATTCAGTCTGAGCCGCTCTGAGTGGAAAAACCTTTTAATGTTCCCTCCACGCTCGCCATAAAACGTCTCTTTACATAACGGAGAGGAAGATGGAGCGCCTGCATGGTTGCAGCTCTCTGACTCAATCTCTTTTTTAACGTGTGCTCTTAATAGTCGGACAGCTGTACAGACGGCCCAAAGACTGCGCTCAGATTCTGCTGAACGGAGAGAGGACCTCGGGTCTGTACACCATCTACGTGGGCGGAGAGGAGACGCAGCCCATCCAGGTCTACTGTGACATGACCACGGATGGCGGAGGATGGCTGGTGAGTGAATCAAACCGCTGGAAACTAATTTAAAAAAAAACATTTAAATGGTAATTCATGTTGAATTGGAAAAAAAATCAAACAAAAGTTATGCAACGCTTTTGATGGACAGCCCCGAAGCGACCTCTGCCGTGCTTGTTGAGAGTGTTTTGAAAACGATGTGACACTCGTTCATTGCTCTCCAGGTTTTGCTCCGACGCCAGAATGGAAAGCTGGAATTCTACAGGAACTGGAAGAACTACACGGCCGGCTTTGGAAACATGAATAATGAGTTCTGGCTGGGTGAGAGCACCTCTCTCTTTCTCTCTTTTTCTCTCTCTCTATCTCTTTCTCTCTCTCTCTATCTCTGTCTATCTCTCTCTCCCTCTCTCTCTTTCTCTTTCTCTCTCCTTCCACTTTCTCTCCATCTCTCTCTTTCTGTGTCTCTTTCTCTCTCTTTCTCTTTCTGTCTTCTTTCTCTTTCTCTTTCTCTCTCTTTCCACTTTCTCTCCATCTCTCTCTCTCTGTGTCTCTTTCTCTCCCTCTCTCTCTCTTCTCTTTCTCTCTCTTTCTCTTTCTCTTTCTCTCCATCTCTATCTCTCTCTCTGTCTCTTTCTCTCTCTCTCTCTCCCTCTCTCTCTTTCGCTTTCTCTCTCTTTCTCTCCATCTCTATCTCTCTCTCTGTCTCTTTCTCTCTCTTTCTCTCTCTCTCTCTCTTTCTCTTTCTCTCCATCTCTATCTCTCTCTGTTCTTTCTCTCTCTCTCTCTCTCCCTCTCTCTCTTTCGCTTTCTCTCTCTTTCTCTCCATCTCTATCTCTCTCTGTCTCTTTCTCTCTCTCTCTCTCTCCCTCTCTCTCTTTCGCTTTCTCTCTCTTTCTCTCCTCTCTCTCTCTCTCTCTGTCTCTTTCTCTCTCTCTCGGTCACCTCGTCACCTTCTCACCCGTATCGTGTCATCACAGGTCTCTCCAACCTCCATAAAATCACAAACTCTGGACATTACGAGCTGCGAGTGGACTTGAGGGATAAAGGCGAATCGGCCTACGCTCAGTACGACAAGTTGACGATCGCAGAGCCGAGAACACGTTACAAAATTTACATCGGAGCGTACAGCGGGACAGCAGGTTGGTATAACTGCTAAAGGAGTAGTTTGATAAGAGAGTGATGTCCTTCTTCTCCAGTGTCTGCTTAATATGAAGCCAGCAGCCAATTAGCTTAGCTTAGCATAAAGAATGGAAACAAGTGTAAACAGCTAGCCTGTCTAAATCCACTCTAAACCTGTATTTGATCATGCCTATAAACCCCTCTATTTCAGCCCTGCTCAGAACAGGCTGTTTCTGTACCTTTAAATATGTAAATGAGCTGTGTCTGACCACGCCCCCTCTCTGGAAGGGCTTTGGGTGTCTCAGTCTTTCTCGCTCCATGTCCTATTGTTTACGGTGAGAAGGCAGACTCAGAGGGCAGAACAAACACCTAGCTGTGGGAGTGTCACCCACCTGGGGGAAGGGCTACTGCCCTTTGTGATGTCATGAAGGGAAAATCTACAAACGGCCTGTTGAGCACACATTTTCTGAAAAGTGGAGCAGGTAAAAGACGGAGAGGATGGACTTTTCTCATCATTGGGGGGTTTGTAGACAGATTAGACACACATGTTAGAGTTAGAGGAACATGGTGAAGTGGACCTTCAGTTTTGTTGTACTTAAAAAAAGATAAAATCAATTTAAAAATGTAACCACCTGACTGAGGACGTCATGCTCAGCTCTCTCTGAATTCCAAAGGTGGCTGTCGCTTTAAGGTGGAGTCAGCCTGTCTGTGTTTTACGACCTTTCTCTCCACCAGGTGACTCCATGACGTACCACCAGGGGCGACCTTTCTCCACCTACGACAACGACAACGATATCGCCGTCACCAACTGCGCCCTGTCCTATAAAGGCGCCTTCTGGTATAAAAACTGCCATCGGGTGAATCTAATGGGGAAATATGGGGACGACAGTCACAGTAAGGTATGTGCAGAGTGTACACATCTCCTTATGTTAAGAGACAGGTAATCCCTTTTCCACACTTTTACATCGGTGAGAAGTTTTTATAGTCATATAGTATTGATTTTAGTATTTTGATCGAGTTTTTCTTGAGGTCTTAAAATCTTGATGAAGGAAGCCGTGTGGCTCAGTGGGTAGAGTCGGTCGTCTTTTAACTGGAAGGTTGGGGGTTCGATCCTCAGCTCCTGCAGCTACATGTCCGATGTGTCTTCTGGCAAGACACTTAACCCCAAGTTGCTCCCGCTGATTCTGCTGTGGCTTAGGAATGTGATTAGCTAATACTGATGTGGATGTGTAGGTGTGACCTGCAGTGTAAAAGCACTTTGAGTATTCAGACGACTAAAAAAGAAATACACAAACTCAAGTTACTGTTTACTACAATCACTATGGCAACCAACAGCAAGACGCAACCCTCACAGGTCAACTGTAATACACCTGACAGATAAAAATGTGATTCCAGCTCTTAAAGTCTTTATATGTGATTTTTCACACTTAAATATAATATAAATCAAGTATATCCTCTGAAAATAACTCTGTGAGTCATGACTGTCTACAATGGGTGTAACACCCGAGTCCCACTGTCTGTGATGCTTTCAGAGTTTTCAGAGTCCTATCTTCACTTTGTTTACATCGCCAGGACGGCCGGCGGACTCCTCCCCTCGTGTATAAAAGTTGTTTAATTGAGGGACTAGAGAAAAGAAGAATAACATACTGTACTCACTGCTTAACTGTGTTTCTAGATCACGCTCATTTCAGGTAAATTTACATGCAGTGTGAAGATACCAGCATAATAAAGATAACTAGCATTAGCATGCTAACACAACAATGCAGCACGAGTTGTTTTGGTTTCATGCTGGTGCTCAAGGGCGACATCTGCTGAATCAAAAAAATGGCATATAAAGCCTTTAATGAAGAAAAAACAGTCCATGATCTCCGCATCTCCCCGGACTTTTTCTTCACCCAAACTCGTTTTTTTAAAATGTTTTTGTCCTCTCTGCAAACAGAATTATAATCGTAAAGTTATCCTGCCGGCTCCATCGCTTATGTTAGGAGGCGTGTTCCTCCACGGGGCACGACAATGACCTTAATAAACTCCTGTAGTCTGTGATGAGCCATGATTTTCACATCTTGTATGGCATGCATGCTGCAGATTATAGAGAAGATTCAGACTCTCCTGATGTGTGTGATGATTTTAAAACTCCTGCAGTCTGAGCCTGACTTAATCCACATCAAACATTCTTCACTCTGTCGTTGTCTCACCGCTCACTCTTTTGTCATCTTTGTTGTGAAGAAGAAAAATCTGATTTTCCAGACAGAAGTTGATCGTGTGGTGTGAGGAAAGATGATTCTGTCGTGTTACATTTATCTCTATTTGAGCCTCTTTCCCATCACATGTGTTTTCCTCCCACAGGGGATCAACTGGTTCCACTGGAAAGGCCACGAGCACTCGATCGAATTTGCAGAGATGAAGATCAGACCAGCCAACTTCAGGAATTTTGAGAGCAGAAAAAAACGATCATAGACTCGTGAGCCCATTCCCCCCCTCTCCTTTTACACCTCGACTCCACACACACACACACACACACACACACACACACACACACACACACACACACACACACACACACACACACACACACACGCTCCCTCATCCTCCGATCGTTCTCTAAAACACAAAGACAATCACACGGAATGTAATTCAGTTCTGCTCGTTGCATAATGAACCCATAACATGACACCAAAGATTTGAGTCATGAGCCGTTAAAGCGTCTCATCGTCCTGACCGGGTGCTGACGTCTGCGTGGTCATGGAGACGGTCGTGCGAGGTGAATGAATGGTCATAAAATAATAATGTGTTTTTTTGGGACCAAACATCTGAGAATCAAATGTCAAATCAGGTCGGTGAATCCAATCGGTCTGCTCCACGTCAAAGGCACATAGAGGCATCACTTTCTGTTCACTTCCTCCGTCTTAAACGGAGCGTTTGAAGAGGATGAAAGAAACACATTTTAAATAAAATAAAAAAAAGAGCTCCAGGAAACATCTTGTGTATATTTACTGTCCCAACATCTGATTGGTTGAACTGGGCTCTTATTTAAATTGTGCTTTACTTATTTTGATAGTAAAAAAAAAACGTCTGAATGATGCTCTGCAAACCTTCAAATAAACACAGTTTGATAAAAACAAAAGTGTGTTATGAGCCCTTTATTTAATAAAAGAGATCATTTCCAGCTTTCACCAGCAGATGGCGGTGTTCACCCTCTGTGCATTTCTGTTTGGGGACACGCTGCAAGAATTAGAGTGTTGATGTCTGCAACAATAGAATACTGGGGGAAGTTTGTAGTCACAGCTTTGCACAATTGGTACACAGGTAAACAAATGATGACATAGCACAGGGAGAAAACATCTAAACAAACCGGAAGAAACACAGAGAAAATTAAAGATAATTCATGTTCTCCTTGCAAATACATGTGTCGATGCAGATGTGACAGAACCGATGCGGCTGCAAAGCTGTGATGATGATTTTAAAAGACAATTGCCCTATGGTGCAGTTCACAAAACCACCATCGCCGTAGTTCTAGAATTCAAATATCTTAAAGGGGATATATAATGAAAAATCCACTTATAGTGTTTTTGAACATACATTTGAGTGTCTACTGACCCACAAAATGTGAAATAAACCATCCAGTCCTTTGTTTGTGGTCTGCATAAGTCTTACAACACAGAGGAAAATGCTCTGTTTCAAATGTGCTTTCCTTGTGATGTCACAGTGGGATTCTGGTAAAAAAAAATACCCTCGCCTCCCCTGGTATCTCCACCCATGGACTCCACCCCCAGACTAGAGCAAAACTTTTGCACAGGTCCGCCATTTTTATTCTCGCTAGCGAACTCGGAGCAAACTGTCAGAAAGTTTCATAATATAGAAGTTTAAGTACCATTTGACCTCTAACCTGCTGCCTCTGCTTCATATGTAATCTCTATTTACAGATTCTACATTTCTGTGTCGACTCTGTACACAGCGGTCTGGATTCTCAGCATGGGACCTGATCTGGTTTCACGTTTGTAGTACATTTGTAGCCCGAGCTTGTATTGCCCAATCTCACATCAGCATACTTTGGTGTACACACAGGGGCGTGTCCAGGCGTGTTCAACGTCAACACAGAGTTATGCACCGACACATAAAAGTGATATGCAGTGAAAGAACCTAAAATAATGTGCTGCATTTTACATGTAAAGAAAACTACTTGCAGTATAAAAACTGTTGTGTCAACAAACGTCCTGACGCCTCTGACACTGAAGCTTCAGTGTTTATCCAGCTCTGCATGGGTCTGTAAACCTTTCTGTGTTCTAACCTCTCTCCATTTTTCAAAAGCATCTCCAATATTGATCCTAGTTTGAGCACGTTTCTGCTCGTGGAGCTTATTAGAAACATGCAGAGGCTTTTTAGGTCGGGTACAATCACTTCTATCTGAACCACTTCTCTTGACCGCTTCCATCACTGCAACACCTGTTGACCTGATAACTGCTCTCATATCTGGCAAACCAAGGGGCATCCAAAACGACCGTGTGGGGGGGGTCGCCTTAAAAGCGCCTACCTTCTCTGGTCCAAACAAATCCAGAGCATTCAGGAGCAGAATCTAAAGTTAGAAGGAGGACATACTGGCTGCTGCGTTGTTGTCAGAGAAGCCAGCACTTCAACATAGCATGTTTCCTTAATGTCTGATCAGATAGTAAGATACCTTTATCATCTCACTCATTACACATCTTACTGATTGGACCTTTAAGCCCCTTCCAGCTGACTTCACTGCCCGTTGGAGTGGTTTTTCCAAGCCGGTATTAAATTCAATCATGGCGTCTTCATGACAATTTGGAGAGACGCCCTCTGGCTCGAGTGCATCCCAATATCTCCGCACCCCCCCCGGGATCTTTTTTCTCGACTTCGTTCCAAAGTCGAGCTTTAAATCTGTGTTATCTTTCTGTTGCAACTAGAGCCCTTTGGAGCCTTTTTGTGCAACACAAATCAATACACATTTTAACAGTTGTCATCACATCTCCGCTCTATGTAAACTGCTCCACATTTCAAGTGAAACTGTTGAACTCGTTGCCTCGAGGGGCTTTGAAGACTCGCCAACGTCTTTACACTACGAGCGCCCTGAAGGAGGAATCATTTAGATTAAACCTGACTGATCTGCAGGATCTACGTTATGTTGCGTTTAGCGTGTGTGGGCTGTATTAAGGTCATTGCAGTATTTCAACATCAGGGAGGTGACCTATTAATCAGACGCTACCTTTGTAGCATGCATCAATCATCTTGTGTGCAGATTTCAAGATAGCAATCTTGCAAGATATCTACTGACTGAAATGATAAAGTGTTGCAGAGCTACGCAGACACAAGTACCATTAATACTTTTAAATAGCACTATTCATAACAGGTGACTTCACAACAGACTAAAATACACTGAAGATAAAAACTAAATCTCAGAGTAAAAGCTTTTATGTAAAATAACATCTTCAGTAGAGAAATAAAACTGATTTCCTCTGGCAGACTGTTCCAAAGCCCCGTCCCCCTTTAGGTTTCAGCCTGTACCTTGAAACATGGAAGCAGAGCTCTACCTGTCGTGCCTTTAAAGGCTTTATATGCGATTTTTTTTGATCCAGCAGATGTCGCCCTTGAGCACCAGCATGAAACCAAAACAACTCGCGCTGCATTGTTGTGTTAGCATGCTAATGCTAGTGATCTTTATTATGCTCGTATCTTCACACTGCATGTAAATTTACCTGAAATGAGCGTGATCTAGAAACACAGTGAAGCAGTGAGTACAGTATGTTATTCTTCTTTTCTCTAGTCCCTCAATTAAACAACTTTTATACACAAGGGGAGGAGTCAGCCGGCTGTTCTGGCGATGTAAACAAAGTGAAGATAGGACTCTGAAAACTCTGAAAACATCACAGACAGTGGGACTCGGGTGTTACACCCATTGTAGACAGTCATGACTCACAGAGTTATTTTCAGAGGATATACTTGATTTCTACATTTAAGTGTGAAAAATCACATATAAAGACTTTAAAGGAACAATATGATGAATGTTTACATTAAAATATCTAATTTAACTCAAAATTTACTAAACCTGTCATAAATGTTTGTTTGTCGAGTTCTTATATTACCTTAAATATTTCCAAAGCCAGATTAATGCTTCATTTTAGGGCTGTAACAGGACTTTTTGTTTTCATGGATGCCTCCATGACAGACATGGCATCTTTATCGTTGCCGTGGAAACAACAGATGTTACTTCAAAAACCGCTGCACAAGGAAGCGTGAGCTGCTGCTGAAAGCTGCCGTACTGTTGCTGTGATAAAAATATCATGTAAATTATACTCGGATACATTAGCTCGTCGGTAAAAATATTCTCTTCCTCATGTCGGTTTTACCCGGTCGTCATGACTATGGTCAACGCAGAGTTTGTTTTCATTGTGGTTGGGAAGGAGTTAGCAGAGAGAATCACTCCCATGATTCCCCGCCAGCCTCGACGTCATCTTTTTTTTTGTTTGTTTTGAGTGAGAGCCCCCTAGTGTTGGAATTTACACACTGCGTCTTATAATCGATTTGCCACTATGGCGTAGATTTGACGCTGATGAATAAATCAGACTTTTTATACGATACGCTTCACTGTCACCATGGTTACATTTGTGGCGGAGTCCACTGCTGCCCCCACAGCAGCATTAACAAGGAGGGGGAGTACGGACAGAGGAGGAAACGTAACTTGAACCATGCAGCGCTCTGTGTGTACAGAGCCCGACACCCTCAGCTGTCGCAGGTTAAGGATGTCGGAACATTTTTTTGTGTGAATATGACAATGAGGAATGCAAAGAGGAATGAAGAGACACTGGATGTCGGCTGGCACGGAGCTGGGAGTTTTTCCACTTAGAAATAACTTCTGACCTGGATTTCTAATCATGCATCTCTCTCGCTCTGACGATCACATTTCATCCTGAGACGGTTCTAAATAAGGACTCGGAGGTCAGGAGCCAAAATGCCTCAGTAATACAGATCCAGAGAGGATTAGCGTCAAATCTTTCCAATAATCGTACCCCTCAGTGTCCAGGGAGAGATTATTCAGTTCTCTTGTGTTTGTCAAAATCAGAACCATATTTCCCATGACCCTGATTTCTTCCTGTTGTCGGAGGGGGTTGGGACAGATAAGAACCGATACCAGCCCCTGATAAGAGATGATGCTGAAGGGTGAACTCGGCTCATATGATGTAAAAGTTGGTAGCTGTTTTGATGCTGTAGATAGAGTGACCATATTTTCAAACCTCCAAACCGAGACACTTTTATTTTACCGCAAACCCTACATGTATCGATCTGGATCGGTGACCTGCTCTGGCCTCACAAGGTGGGAGGTAAAGGTTTCCTCCTGAGCTGCTCATTTAAGATGGTTGTCAGCGACGTTAGCTACACTAAAGTTGAAGGTAACAGCGCTACTTCCAACCTGTTCCCACCGTTTGCGTCTGCAGGTGTCATTATAGTTTGTATGTTGGCATTTCCACTGCAGACAGACACCTGAGGAGGGTCCAAGCTGGAACTCTCCTGAAGCTCTTTGGAAAACGCTGACTTCCTGTTCAGTATCACAGCTCGCCTACCTGTCGTTATGCAGCATGATAAACTAGGCTAGCTTAGCAACAGCCATAACCTCGAGATTGTGGATGTGCAGACAAATCAGTATTGACCTTTGACTGGTGGTGCATTAGTGATGAACAACATTGACTGACATACACAGACAGATCAGTGATGTTAGCATGGTGTGTTGTTTTGGTTTGTTAAAGCGGGGACATGTTAGTGTTTTATAGATGTTTGTGGGGACTCTGGGTCACAGAGCCTGACAGCTAGATGGTCCCGGTCAAATCGAGACGTATGGTCACCCTAGCTGTAATGCCATTTCTCTCTTCATGCCCTTGATGAACCGGATTTATCTGACAAGTTTCCCACGACAATGGCTTGAGATCAGGATGTTTTCTCATGCAAGTTTCATTAGCTTAGCTTTGCAAGAGGATTACAAATCAAGGAAATAAATGCTGGCTCACCTGATTCAGTCCAAAGGTGAAAAAAAATGCACCTCTTTGCATGTAGAACGGCCGTAGTATTGCTGTGGTAGGGGTGTTCCTTGTTTCCTAACTTCAATGTTAGAAA